TATTTCTCTCCCTTTCTCGAATGATCTTTCCGATTGCCTTAAATAGGTAACAATCGGTTAAGGAATTATATTCCGGCATTTGATTCTTCTTTAAATTTTTAGTGGAGTCGATCTTGTATTGGTGAGGAGAGTTTGTGTAGAGAGAGGGTTGCCAAAACGCATCCTCACGAGTTGGAGATTCTCAATACAAAGCTTGCTACGGAGGTTCTTTTCAATTCTCTTCTCTTTTATTGCTTTATTTATTGTTTTATTTAGCTTTATTTACTGTTTATGCCATGTAGAATAAAATCATGTAGATAGCTATTTTAATATCTTTTTTTATTGCTTTATTTAGCTTTATTCATCATTTTATGCATGCAACATAGAATAAAATCATGTAGATAGCCATTTAATATTATGTAATAAATAGGGTAATCGCGTAATTTCTCGTAGTCTTTACTTAAAAGAATTAATCTGTCATAGGGAACCCGAAAGGGGCGTTGTGGGGTGCTAACACCTTCCCCACACGTAACTAACTCCCTTACCCAACTCTGGTTATAATGGCCAAGTTTGGTTTTTCATTAAAATCAATGCCTTTTATCCTTTTCCAATGTTTATGGTCAAAACATTGGTGGCGACTCCATAAGAACCCTTTTTCGAAAACCTTTTAAAACAAATACGCGAGTCTAAACCATCTTTTCGCGACCGCTCGCATAAACGTTTCAAGACGTCCCCCGGACGTCGAAAGGGACGGCGGCGACATGGAGGTTGCTGATATGACTGTTGTTGAAATGCAGGTTGTCTAGTATATGAGCTAACACCTTGGTTCCACCCAAAATTCTGATTCTGATTTTGATTCTCTCTCCATCCTTGTGCAAAATTATTCTGATAATTATTGGGATTAGGAAAATTGCCTTGTCTGCCTTGACTACTACCTTGAGCACCCATATAATTAGCTTCTTCTTGCTGAATGTTGCCTTGATAAGAACATTGTTCATTTGCATGATCACCTCCACACATACCACAACTCATCTGTTGATTAAGAATATATTGTACTGTGTGCATTTGTTGAGGTAATTTCTCTATCTTCTGGTTCAATGCTTCAATTTGTTGCGTTATAAGTTTATTCTGGGCTAAGATAGCATATGAGCTGTTAAGTTCAAGTACTCCCTTCCTTTGAATTGGATGTCTATCATGTTGGGCCTGTTGGTCTGTAAAGGCTAGTGCATCAATAATTCTGGTGGCATGATCAATTTCTACATCCAACATAGATCCTCCTGCTGCAGCCTCTAATAACATCTTTGCATCATGTCGCAAGCCAGTATAGAAAATATTCAACTGAGAAACGTCATCAAATCCATGATTTGGGCAACTTCTCAACAGTGATTTAAATTTCTCCCATGCTTCACAAAATTGCTCATCTGCTCCTTGTCTAAAAGAAGTGATGTCAGATTTTGTTTTGATGTAGCGGGATGGTGGGAAAAATCTGTTCAGAAACTTCTCTTCTACACTACTCCAATTAGTCAGACTCTGATTAGGATGTGCTTTCAGTCATTCCTTTGGCCTACCTTGTTGCATAGCATAATTTCTAAGAGTTCTTCTAGGTGGATTTGCATTTGGGTTTTGATTTGGATTTGTATTTGGATTTGGATTCAGATTTGCTCCTTCTTCCGTCATATCTTCTATAATTGGGTTTGGTAAATCAAGTGTGAAAGAAGAATTAGCAGATTCTCTTGTAGCTTGTTCTTGAGTTTCCCTTCTTACGAAGATACCTGTCCTCTTAAACGCATAAATCGGAAGAGTAACTCAAACAAATATTAGCACAAACTAAAAACTAAATAATAATAATAATAATAATAATAATAATAATAATAATAATAATAATGAAAATAATGATAATAATAATGATAATAATAATAATAATAATGATAATGATAATGATAATAATAATAATAATAATAATAATGATAATGATAATGATAATAATAATAATAATAATAATAATGATAATGATAATAATAATAATAATGATAATGATAATAATAATGATAATAATAATAATAATAATAATGATAATAATGATAATAATGATAATAATAATGATAATAATAATGATAATGATAATAATAATGATAATAATAATAATAATGATAATAATAATAATAATGATAATGATAATAATAGTAATAATAATGATAATAATAATGATAATAATAATAATAATAACAGAAATAAAAATAAAATACTCAATAAGCTAAACAAAGAATTCTCAAAGAACACCGTTCTCCAAGCAACGACGCTGAAATACTTGTTGAATTATTAGCAAGCGTACCAAAATTATCAATCGCAGGTATAGTATTTCGATTAAATAAAAGTCGATCCCACCAGGAACAGTTTCAATGAAAATTCCCAATTATGCTTACTAAGTAGATTAAACAGATTGAGTTTTGCAAACAAGAGTTAAATTGAAATTAAATGACAAAAAACTGTAAATTGTTGAGAAAATATCAATTAAAGGTACTTAGGATTGACTTCCTTCCTTATCCCTCTTTTGTAATGGTTATGTCAATTAAGAACGTCAATTAACCTAACAATGTTGATGTCACCTACTCAAATCATCCATGTTGATTCCTCACACATGAAATTCATAAGAAAACCTAATAAATGTTTATTCCTCACACAATTAACAGATTTTCTAGCATTAGGGTTAGGGTGTTAAGCAATTGATACATTTATTCCATTCCTGACAATTAACGTAACAAATATTCTTACCGTGATCTAGGGTTCAAGATATATTTTTCAATCATACCTCAAACAATCGAGAATAAATCATTCCAAAACATAAAGAATAAGAATAACAACATCAAAACATAGATTAAGATCTCAAAATATCACCATGATACAAAAGAGTTCAAAGGAAGTGTACCAAATCCTAAGAGAATGAAGTTAGTCACTCATGTTGGTCATTACAATGCTCCAATTGATGAAGAAGTGAAGAATTGATGAAGATTAGACAAAACCCTAACAGTAGTCGTGTCTCCTCTCCTCCAATACTGCTTACTTTTCTCAAAACACAACTTATCTTTTTATAAGAGAATTTGGGTCAGGTCTTGCATCATTCATTCGCTTAAGCTCTCTTCTTTCTTTCAATTTTACTCTAATTATACTGACAATTATTCTTCTTACTCTTGTATCAAGGTATTCTCAAATTCATCCTATATTGGGAGAAAAATATATTAGAATTAACATAAGTTAAGTGGTTTTATAACAATTCAAGGTATAATTATATCAACTTTTTACCTCTTAACATATCGACAACAGATGTTTTATGAAAATGATGATTTGTGAGCACCAAAAAATGTTTTCTCTAAACCGCAATTTTGTTACGGCCAATCTCAACTTTATTTTGCAACCAGTGACCTTTATGGTTATTTTATATGCTTGGAAATCCCAGTCAGTTAAAATGCATATTTGGAAAACTTTTCATCTTTGTGACTAAGCCTGTAAGAACACCTGAGAATGTTGAAATGTAAGTATGAGTTAAACATGGAATAAAAATAGAAAGGTTGAATAATATATATATATATATATATATATATATATATATATATATATATATATATATATAACCTAGAAAACATAACTATATTATTTTTTTTATAAAATGTGAATAATCAAATGTCATAGAGCATAAAAGCAGATACATCTTACATTCTGATGGTGATTGTAGGGAACATATCATTCGAAGCGGAAAGTTTCTCATTCATTTCACCCAAAACAAAAACTGAAACTAATTTAACCCAAATAAGACACTTTTTAGAGGAATAATCAAAATGCCTAGACCATAAAATCAGAGATATATCACATTCTGCAAATCACATCACAGCAGAGAACCAAAATTCTTTTATTCGGTGGGTTCCAACAGCAAACAGAATCAGTAATTTACTTCTATGAAATTACGTCAAGATTACAACTTCTGCAGAGTGTTCATTGTCTAACCGAAAATGTAGTAAATATCTAACCAAATATCACAACTTTTTTCAAGTTGTACCGAATCTTCACAAATGTAACCAGTTTTGGGTAATGGAATATTTGGTATTAAAAATAGAATGGAAGAAGAAGAAAAAAAAGAATGAAATAAGAGAAGGATTCTTGCGTGAAGGAGTGAACATGAAAAAATAAATATTATAAACCAACAATAGGATTCACATAAAAAAAGTTACTTGACTGAACAAAGAATTGCAAATATATATATATACTTTACTGTCAATAATTAATTATGATCCAAAAATAATTAATTAATTCTTTTTTATTTATGCTCGAGTGCTCCTCTTATAATTTCATAATTGTTTTTCTTCTTTTATTATTAATAAAACAACTAAATAGTATTTATTTTATTTTAAACTAAATAATTTTAAAAATCTTGACTTTTTACCTATTAATTTTCATTTACTAAAGGATCTTTATTTTCATCAATCTCTATTATTTTCCACTTTTCTTTTCTCTTTAACTGGTTTCCTCACTGTTTCTTTACCCAAGTGGTTTTGATTTATACATCACATATTTTGAGTTCTTGAAGGAACAGAGATTGGTGTAATGATATTCCAATGTTGTACATGGTTTCTTCTTGAATAGCTTTAGTTACGAGTGACATAATAGTCAAGGATTGGCGCAAAGGTAAATCTAGTCATAGATGCTTGTGAAATGAGAAAGAAGAAAACCATCAAAGAAAAAACATGCATAGCAATCCAAGTTCCGGTAAACATAAAATGTTAACTTTCCTAGTCACAACAAGATCAGGAAATCAGCATAACATTTTGGTAACCTAAATTCTCTGCAAGGCAAAATCACGTATACATTTTTACTCTTTACAATCTACTGCTATCCCATTTCTAGATGAAATGAAGGAATCGTTTTAAATGCGTGTAACCTCTACTCTATTTCTTTTCCTATTGACACTTCCAAAGAAAAATTCCAGTAAGATGAACATGTGTTGGATGATAGAACTTGGGTAGAATAGGCTACGCTGCAGCTAATACCCAGAGCATAATTAGGGATGATATTGAAATCGGTAACCAGCTGAAAAAGGCCAAGGCTACTGAAATCTGGTACTTTTGGCATTCCTCTCCAAAACGGCAGTGTCCCAGATCATTGAAGTACAAGATTGTGATGCCGGCTGAGGAAGACGCTGCAGCTAGAGATAGTGTTGCTGTTACCTGTGGACAGTGATCAAAAGAAGACTTCTAAATGAAAGATCATAGAACCAATGAATAACTAACTCGTAAGAGTAAAGGTTTAGGAAGAGGCTAACCCAATCTCCAACTACGAAGAGGCTAATCAGTACGGCGTTGTGGAGGACTTTCTTTCTCACCAAGGCATATGCATCCAATACAGCAAGCACAAAACTCCAAATGACTTGTAAACCCATTGAAGCTATCAAGTAACTGTAATATACAAAAGGAGCAGTAGCGTCAACTTATTCCATGTTCAACATCTAAGCGACCTGAAGATCAACGACTTAGGTACATTTCCAAATGATCATATCAACTGTAAAACAGTTCCCGAAATACATGTTTTCATAGAGAAAAGCATTTGTGTTAGGATCCAATTGCAATGTATGGGACTCGAGTCCCACACAGGAAGTATAAAATTTTAGAGTGCGTTTAATTTCTATGGTGTGTTTCTAAAAGGTTCTTAATATCAAAGAGCACTGACATAAAACGGTTATACCACAGACATCCCCCTTTGGCCAACACCATTCCCAATCTCATTCTCACCTCCAAGCCTAGTTCCTTACCCAGCTCAGCTGGGTTCATTCTATTCAGAATTTCACTGTCAGTTCAGGCATCATTTGCATGGAGAAACAAAGCTCATATAGCATTTTGAGTTTCATATCTTCAATTTTCGGCATCCAAGCAACACTGATAAGAGCTTAAAACTTAATGTCAATAAGATAAATTTGAACTTTTCAAGCAGTAACTATGATCTAACAGTAAGATTCATAGGCTTTAAAGCGGCAGGATAAAGAGACAAGTAAAGAGGGAATATCATATGGACATGTCTAATGATGAATATGACTGAACTAAGATGGATTGCGCCTAATGAGTAATCTGTTGAAACAAAAACAATCACCTCATCGTTATTGTTCAGTGTAAATTGTTTTGCACAGTATTCAAGCACAACGTGAGTGCAAAAATACTTAAACAATGCATTTGGTATTGAATGGTTATAGGTCCATGTTCTTTTGGTCTAACAATTTGAAAATCAGCAAGCAACCAGAATTGGTATCAAATTAATAGTTGGGAACTTGGAATGAAGTTATCAATAAAAAATTACTCACATACAAGTATGATGATTTCGTAAGTATGTTGCTGGTGAAACATTGAGAGCATCTTGACTGACCACTAAATTTGACAGAAAAAGGTCCCAAGAAATATTATAAACTCTTCTAGGTGAGATTGGATAGTAGTGGTTTCATGGTAGTAGTCAAACAATCAAAGGGCAACCCAGGATTAAGGCTCAGAGAGACTATCTCCAAGATTTGAACCTGTTCCCTCCAAGAGTTAAGGCAGCAACTGACCATTATGTCAAGACTCACCCTCCAATAGTCAAACAATCCAAGATTTTTTTATTTTTCCTTTTTTTGCATAAAATGTGAACCAGTAAATAGTAAACATTATAGTTTAGTTTATTGACAATGCTGTGGATATATAACTAAAGATCAAGGAGGAACAGAAAAAATTACCACTTTTTATGTACGACTTAAGAATGAAAGATTTTGCCCAGTAAATAATGTTTTGGTGGAATCTTTCCAAGAAGTTAAGATATAGCTTTCATCAGAATGAAGGTAAGACCTAACTCACGAAGAAGATACTATTCTCGTTCCCATCATCCTTACAACCATGAATAACCTTTTGTTCCTTTTCTTCTGTAAAATGAGCATATTTTGATTTTGATTTTGGTTTCAATAGAAAAATTCTCTGTTCTTAGAAGTCCCCCTAAAATTAAAAATTATCGTTTTAAGTCCTAATAAAATGTACGAATTTTGGTTTAATCCCTGGAAAGTATCGTTATTTGCTTTTCATATTTCCAAAAATTGAAATCACTAATTTTGATCTCTAACATCCATTCATAGTATAGACACCACTTTAGAAGAGTAACTTGACTTTTCCTTCAATCCATAAGCAATATTAACTAGTGTCATAAATACCAGCGATGAATAAAAAAATCAATTTTAGAGGAATTGAAACATATTTAAGCCTAAAAATCACATGATATGATATATTTATAAAAATTGTAAGTTACTTAATCCAATCCTACAAAATGAACTCAAAAATAGAATTTTATTCACCTATATATTATAATGTTATTATATTTTCAATTAATATGAAATTTCATTCTCCTTCACTGCAAACCATTAATAAAGAATTCTTCTATAAATTAATCAAATTTTGAGAGTTTTCAAAACTTAAAAATTTAAACACATGTACTTTAATGATAAAAATATATTCCACCAATTAAATCAATTTTTTTCAGCAATATACTTTTGTAGTTTTCACCTGTGTTTAAAAGTACCTGTGATACACAAGAAAATTGTAGAGATTGGTCAGCAGCATAATCACGTTGGTCCCTGAACTACCGAATAAGCTATCCTCCATCAAAATAACTAGTACTAAACTACCTCTAGGGGAGACCTCTGTCAATTTCATTTCAGTGCTAAACATCTGATTAGAGGATTTTTACACAAGATAAGTTTGATTCATATCGTGTTTGTTTTCATGTGTTTAGATGTGATTTTTAAAGGCTAAAAACATGTTTGGTTCCACATTTTGGATGTGGTTTTCTAGGGATGTGATTTTTATAAACTAACAGTTATAGCTTTTCCATCCCATTCGAATCCTCTGCTTCCAAGCACACCATCAGCCATGTAAAAATTGTGATTCGCATCTATTGAATCCAAAAGCAAGCTTCATGAATATCAGATTTCCCAATTCCCATTTCCCAACAACAACGACAAATTCACAGGACACATTCATTCCAGTCACGGCTGAAACAGGCAAATTGCTAAACTTGCTTGAAGAAGCTAGATTAACTTATATTACACGGCACAAATCCAAATATGAAACAGAATCAACAACAAACAGTTGGCTAACATGAGAGTAATGTGTTTCGAGGATACGATAAGAACTGAAACAAAATCAGACCAAAAGAGATAAATGCAAGAAAAAGTTTCAGAAATGCAAAATCTATAATTAGTTACCAAAAGGCCGTGAAATTAAAGAAACTGGGAGTGGTAGCCATGGAAGCAATTGATCCAGCAGCAAAAATGAACTGTGACATCCTTAGAACCAAACCAAGGACAGTGCCCGGTGTCCCAGGGAAATCCTTCATCTTTCTCTCCAAATCTAAGATTCTCAATGGCTAAGGATAAACACCCATCTTCATATTTGACCAAAAAGTAAGAAAAAAGAAAGACAATAACCCAAAGGCGAAAAAGGAAAATTTAAATCTGGGGTGAGCACAGTTTCTGTCACGGGCAAAACAAGACAGGGAAATTAGGAAGTTAGATTAGAGAAGCTAAGCAAGCATGTTAAGGTTGGCAAATGGCAATAGTCAAAAGTGTGACCAAACAGAACAACCTCGGTTGCTTGTAATTGCATTGCTCTTTCTTTGCTTTTAGTTGTGTTTTGTTTATGACAGTGAACTCTCACCCACGCATCCCGAATAGCGTGCAGAGTATTCCACAAAAGTGTGTGGACCCACTAAACGCCTATTCCATGTCAAGCTTACATATTTCATACTTCCTTTTGGAAATTAACCATGCTCCATACTATACTATACTATACATAACTTCAGTATTGTCACGTCAACTTTCAAGGTTTCTGTTTGTCTTTTTACTTGATATGAAGTTATATTTTTATATTTCCTTGAATTTTCGGAAAAAAATTGATGTTAGATACTTGGGGCAGACTTCTGGTTTAACCAACCCCTCGTCCCAACATAAATGAAGTAGACCGGTCTCTTAAAAAAAATACAGACTAAAACATAAACATATAAATTTTCTTTTTACGAGTTTTACTTTATTTTTAACAAAATTACTTTCAGAAATATAGTTTTTATATTGAAAAAAAATATATATAAAGGTTAGGAATCACTATGTTAAAGTCAAGCTGGTTTGCAGAACTATTGAAATCCTATGAGACACATTCATTTGTTAGAGTATCACGTAATTGAAATTAGGCAACCCTAAACCTTAAAACATAAAAATAGCATATCCTCAAGACTATGACAGATCCTCCTCTTCGTCCACCACCTTGATTTGACCATCTTACTCAGTCACCCCCACCAAATCCTCTAGAGAAGTTCTACATCACATAAAATTCACTAGAACTCAAATGATACCTTTGTACTTGTTCCCTTCACAGCAAATTTCAAATATATAAAAGTCAAAGGAAACTTTTCCCCTGCCAATATACTAGCAAAACTTGACCAATAAGATTCAATTACAAATATTGCTAAAAAATATCTAAATATTGGCAAGCACCATTTTCATAACAGGAAGACTTTCACAAATTTAAAAGATATAATATTTATTTTCTTTAGATATAATATTTATTTTCTTTAGATATAATGGAATAGACAAATTTTATACAATAAATAAATAGGAAGAACAAGAAAGAAATGTTCCTAAAAAAAAAACCTAAATCAAACTAAAGAACGAGGGCACACAGAAGGAAGAAACTTATAAATCTAAAATCACCCGCTAGTTTGGAATTTAAGATATTGAAAAAATAATTGCAGTTTTACACAGAAAGGAATAAGACTTAATCTCTCTATGTGATTATTTAATAGGAAAGAAATTATATCTGAAATTGCAAAGAAATCCTTACAAAGGATAGCGTGTGTGTTTGATTAACATGTTTCACCTTCAAGGTAAGACTAAAGACAGTTTTATATTTCATCATGTAAAATCTTCTGTACTCATAAATTTATAGCTGATGTGGGACCTACGACCATTTTATATTTCAACTTTCATCACCTTGGTAGTGGATCCTGAACTAATAACATGGTGTACTGTGCATTAAAAAACTTAGTACACCTACTCCTAAATTATTTTATAATTCATCTGATGAGTTGGTTAAAGAAAAGTTTGGTTTTCAAAAATCTAATATTAAATGAATTAGGATGAGGATAAAAATGATTTTTTAACTCATTAAAAATAAATATTAAGATTTATAGTAATGCCTAAATGAATATTATTATAAATGTTTAACTATAATACTACTATTTATTTATTTTAAAAGATATAAAAAACTAGTAAAACTATTATTTTGTTTATTCTTATCTTGTTTATCTATTTTAATGAAATACTGTAACTTTTGAATTTTACTTATTTTAAATTTTTCTCTAATTTGTAGTAATAATAGAATCATGAAAAAAAAATATAATTCTTTAAGAGGGAACGAAAACGAGAGAACAATTTTTTTTTCAGTGCCAAAAGTAAAAAATTGTATAAAAAAATAGTAATCATGTCCGATTGGATAATTAATAAGTGATTATTTGAGTACATTTTTAAAAAATATATAATATATGTAAAAATTTCTAAAAATTCATATTTCTTTAACTTGAATTGAAATAAAAAAAAAACAATGATTTATTTCAATCTTATTTCTTACTATTAACTCCTTCTCAACCCATCCCCTGGTATTTATTTTACATAGTACGGAGTAATGCGTACTTTAATCTTAAAGCAATTGCAAATTAAGTTAGTTGAAATCAAAGGTAAAAAAAATGATAAACCAATTAAAGCAGTAAGATAAGCATATGTGTTAATGAAAAAAATAAAAAAGTGTTAAAGCAGCATATAACATTTGTGTTTTTCTTGCAAAACATTTATCCTCGTCTCACTCTAAGGCTTTGTTTGGTTGGAGTGATTTGAGAGAGTGGAATTGAGAGAGTGGAAAAGGAGGGATTTGAAGAGAAATGGAGATGATTGAAAAGTGAAAGGAAAGTTTATGGGAAATTGTGAATAATTTGATTGATATGAGATATAAAAATTATAATTTTATGTTGATTATTTAAGAAAATTACCATTTTACCCTTTGTATAAAATAAGGTTCAAATGATTATAAATATAAATTTTTAATTAATTATCCATATTTTAACATTGATTATATATTTAAAAGAAAAAACAAAATTAAAAGTGTTTGTAATTGGAAACAAATTTAAAAAATTAACTTTTTTTTAGATAGTTATTAAAAATTATATAAATAAACAATTACAAAATTATGTACATTGCATATCCATATTCAAATAATGTTGACATATTAAATAAATTATTTGACTAATAATTAAATAATTATAAAATATAAAATAATAAATAATATTGATTGATAATAACAAATATAAAATAAATATAAAATACAGTGAAAATAGAATAATAATTAAATGAAACATTACTAAAATTATAAACCTATGCACACTAATGCTCTTCAAGCAAATAATTATAATGTTATTCATCTTTTGCGAGTCAAGTCCTCCAGTTCAGATCATTCAATCACTTCCACTCAAGAACATGAACAACTTGGGAGAGACGAAGATGTCCCATATATCTGATCGCAAATGTTGAAATGTTGATGATCGTCTCATCACATTAACTTGAGATAAAATAATTACAATATAATTTTCTACTTTAAGAATTAATAATATAATTAAACTCAAAATTGAGAATACTCTTATACATTTTGAACTCTTTTGGATAAATTTTGTTTCCCTAATTTTTGATAAAGTTAATTTTAATATTTAAAATTATTTAACATTTTGAATTCTGAAAGGTTTTCTCTAATAGCAAATTAAAAAACATAATATTCAAAAAAATATTTTAAGATTCGAGTCTCGGGTTGCATTTCGCTCGAGCGACTATATCTCGCTCGAGCGAAAAATGATCCTGATCGATCATAATTTGAAATGATCGATCATAATTGGAGGATATAATAGCGGTTCCTTCAGAATCAGCTATCTAAAGTGTATATTAGATAGCGGTTCAGGTGGAACCGCTATCATATACAACCATATTTTAATTTCTTGAGTCTCGGGTTGTGTTTCGCTTGAGCGACTATATCTCGCTCGAGCGAAATATGATTCTGATCGATTAGATTTTCGAAATGATCGATCATATTTCATAATTTTTTCAAATAATTAATTCTAATCGATTATTTTTCTAAATTATTGATTAGAATTGATTAGTTTTTCAAATAATAGCTTAGAATTGATTAATTTCTGAAATATATATTAAAAAATTATAATTAAAAATATAGATTATTTAAGAATATTAACTATTGTAAAGATAAAGTAGAACATAGGAGGAGATGAGGATGATAATATAATGATAGAAGTTACAAAAATGTAGAATTGAGAAGTTTGAAAAAAAAATTAAGAAAATAGAGATTTAATTACACTTTTAATAAATTGAAGATAATTACAATATAATTTTCTACTTTGAGAATGAACAATATAATTAAGAAGATCAAGTGTAATGTTATTGATGCTAATTTTAACAATAATACAATAATATTATTTTCGAAAATGCCCATATTGATGTCAATATTTTGATTATTATTATATAAAATAATTAAAAGAATAAGGTAAATAGAAAAGTAAAATGCATGGTTATACCACTTTCCTTTTAATCTATAATTAGTTAGGTATGAATCAAATGTAAAGTCTAATGTTATTGATGCTAATTTTAAGAAGATCACAAAATGTAAATTAAATAACTACAATATAAATTTCTACTTTGAGAATGAACAATATAATTAAACTCAAAATTGAGAATACTCTTATACATTTTTTAACTCTTTTGGATAAATTTTGTTTTCCTAATTTTTGATAAAGTTAATTTTAATATTTAAAAGTATTTAACATTTTGAATTCGAAAGGTTTTCTCTAATAGCAAATTTAAAAACATAATATTCAAAAAAATATTTTAAGATTCGGTCTCGGGTTGCATTTCGCTCGAGCGACTATATATCGCTCGAGCGAAAAATGATCCTAATCGATCATAATTTGAAATGATCGATCATAATTGGAGGATATAATAGCGGTTCCTCTGTAACCGCTATCTAAAGTGTATATTAGATAGCGGTTCCAGTGGAACCGCTATCATATACAACCATATTTTAATTTCTTGAGTCTCGGGTTGTGTTTCGCTTGAGCGACTATATCTCGCTCGAGCGAAATACGAATCTGATCGATTATATATAAGAAATGATCGATCATAATTGGAGGATATAATAACGGTTCCTCTATAACCGCTATCTAAAGTGTATATTAGATAGCGGTTCCAGTGGAACCGCTATCATATACAACCATATTTTAATTTCTTCAGTCTCAGGTTGTGTTTCGCTTGAGCGACTACGTCTCGCTCGAGCGAAATATAATTCTGATCGATTAGATTTAAGAAATGGTCGATCATAATTGGAGGATATAATAGCGGTTCCTCTGTAACCGCTATCTAAAGTGATATATAATAGCGTTTAAGATTTAACCGCTATTAGAAGTGATATGTAATAGCGGTTATGTTTTAACCGCTATTAGAAGTGATATATAATAGCGGTTAAGTTTTAACCGCTATTATAAGTGCTATTATAATAGCGGTTAATATTTAACCGTTATCATATGGAAGAGGGTATGTTCGACCTTTCATTATCTCCAGCAGACTTTCATCGTTTTTCTTCGCAGATTAGCGAAGAAAGCCTCTCTCCCCTCTCCCCCTTTTCCTCGCCTGCATTTCTTCGCAAATCTGTTCAACCAAATGTGGGTGAATCTCGTGTTTCTATCTTCGTGAACAGTATTTCGTCGCAAATCAGTTCAAACAAACACATCATAAATGTTCCAAATGTCTCCAACCTTCTTAAATTTGGTTCCAATTGTTAGACGAATCAAATCAAAGACCAAAACCAAAATTGACCACAATACCGCTGAACACAGCGACTCTTCACGTTTCTTTGTTTTCTTCCCTTCTGCCTCTTCTCTTGCTACTTCAAAACACAGTCACAAAAATGGGGTTTTCCTCCTTTCTGGGTCGTGTCCTCTTTGCTTCCCTCTTCATCCTCTCTGCATGGCAGATGTGAGTCCTTTCTCTCTCTCTCTCTCTCTCTCTCTCTCTCTCTCTCTCTCTTCCTAGATCCATCCATAACGTCAGATTACTTAATGTATGCCCATTAAATTTTCATTTTCTGCATCTGGGTTTTCATTCAGATTTATGTTTTCACTAGATGTAGTACAAACCCATGATGCTGTTTAATGGATATAATTTTTATAATTGGGTTTCTTTCTTCCTGTTGCTCTAATTCTTTTGGAAACTATGGTGAGCTGTTCAAGTTTAATAATGCATCTTTTAGTGAATAGAGTTGTCTCTGGAAATTCATGATTTACTTTAATGTAAATTATTAGTTAATTGATTCGTTCTCTTAAGTATGCCAGCATGTTGGGATATTGTTATACAAGGAGCAAACAGCAATAACAACAACAACCAAAACAATCATGTAACCTTGAGTTGCTCATCGCGTGTATGTTTTTTATGTTGCTTTTCCTTTAGTTGCTTCCTTCAAATCATTGAGGATTTTCATGTTTGCAATTAGTTCTGAGTTTATGTCAAGTCAGGTACAGGCTGCAAATTGATGATTTTAATGGCTCATTTAACATGGGTTGAATTCAGGTTTGAGCCTGACACAAAATACATGGAGCTGTGAGGCATCAATTGCTAAAGATTTTACATATTCCAGTGATATCCTTAAATATTGTTAAAAATTCAAGTCGTAGTTCAAATTACAAGAAGAGTAAAAGTGACAAAGTTGTCTAACTTTCAAGTAAGAAAAACCTTCAACTAATGTTTTAAAATTTTGAGTTGAAGGAGATATTTTATTTTCTTTTATTTTCTTAAATAATTGACTTATGTTTTATTCGTGAGAATCTTTTTAAATCAGTCAATTTCAAAAATTCCCAACAAATATAACATATAAGTGACATGCAAACTTTATCTTAATGGATTTTGTAGAGTGAGTTAGGTTCAAACGCTAAGAGCAATAGTATTTTAAAGCTTGATGAATTCATTTGTTATTACTTTGTAGCTTTTATTTGTTTTAGTCAATATTAATATTGACTTTTGTTCTTCTACTTAATTCTTTAATGAATTATGCTGCCTTTAATTTTACATTCTTGGTCTTTATTTGAAGATGGATGGATATTGAATATCAGACCTCAAAGCCTAGTTGTGTATCAACTGATAAAGTGTGAACCCAAAATGGTATTTGTTAAATAAAAATGAGGCCCAAAATTATCCATATACAATTTGTTCAGAGACTACCGCTGTACTACATTTTATTGCTCTGATACTATGTCTTGCAGACATGTTTGTTGAGATGCATTTCTGTATCCAGACAGAGTCTTTTCAGCAGTTTTAGTTCCTATTACTTTATTTAGTAACTTGCTAGGTGGTGCATCATCAGGTTGATGTTTATGAATGGGCATAGGCTGTATGCCCGTACCTTGTGTGACAACATTTTAGCCTATCAAATGTTTGGTTGTTAATGTAATTTTTAGTTTGTCTATTGAAGCAACATTTAGTACATTCGTATTTATATAGAATGTATGTTGCCAGGTTTAATGAATTTGATGACACTGGTGGACCCGTTGCAAAGGAGTTGATTCCCAAGCTCACGGCCTTGAGGAGAAATTTATCCTCCAAACTGGGGGTAGGGTACCAGATATTAATGTAAGGTCATCTTTTCTCACATTATCAAATTTTTGGAATGGAATTCAATTTTTATAACATTTCTGGATAAAATGTTAAATACAGGTTCGGCCAGTCATTGCCTCTACCATATTTCTAAAGGGAGTTGGTGGAATTCTATTTGTGCTTGGCAGTACAATTGGATCTTATCTTCTGGTGAGGGCTTACTCTCTTAGCTTTGAAATGAATATTTGTTGTTTTTCTTAAATTTACTTTTCCAGTTTTGATCTTTGTTTTGGTACTAAAGCATTATAACCCTGATACTATTTTTTGTAGCTCTTTTATCTGGGACTTTCTACACCAATTCTGTATGATTTCTACAACTATAAACCTAATAACCCTGAATACAGTTTACTGCTGAGTGATTTCATCCAGGTATGTGCAAACTATTGTTATTTACGGTGTTTCTATCTGACGATTTTACGTGTGTGAGAACTCAATGTAATGTGTTCACTTTGATGGCAGAGCACAGCACTTTGTGGTGCATTGCTATTTTTTATTGAGATGAAGTACTTGATTAACAGGAAGCAAATCAGGAAGAAGACCCCGAAAGCAAAGACAGTTTAGAGAATAGAAAAAGGAATTATGTATCTGTTTCCAGTAGAAAGGTTATTAAATTGTTTGTTGCGGTATTATGGAATAATTGCTTAAACCTTTTTTGCATCGATGGGCACATAATTTTATTATGGATATGCTTAAGCTTTCTCATACAATTCTGGTGTAATGGTACTAGGAATAGCTTTGTCAGATTTTCTCGTCAATCAAGGTTTGATGGGTAAGATATTCTAGCATTAAATATTTACATAGCCTAATTATCTCACAATGTTCAACCCAGTACAATTTGTTTAATTTTAATTTAATTGGTTACGATTCATATACAATAAAATATGCAATGTATGCTAAATGCAAGCATGGACAGGTTGGAACCCCTACTATCCCGGAGTCTCAAATAATATCCAATATATGCCACACTCTACCTCTTATCCCTTGCACTCACGTTAGGATTAAGAAAATCAGAATTCAAGTTTGCTAAAATCGGCTTAATCGCTCATAAACAAATTTTAACCAAGCAGAGCCAACCAGTTTTGAGCATATTTAACCTTTGATTCATTTAAACAGAAAAAACTCTACATAATTTGAATACGGATATCAATACGGTCATTATTTGGATCTCAACTGAGTCCAAAGAAATGCCAATCCATCAGGCCTCTTGCTCCTATATTTGCTGCATGGAAATGTAAGAACCTCAGTTTGAAAAAGTACAAAATTATCAAGTGCTAACATCTGAATTTTGCTATTGTTCTGCCACGGGTTTCTACAGTTCACTATGCCAAAGATTTATCCAACTGGTAATACTATAACTGCTAGTGATACAATGAGATCCAATAAGTGTTGATATACCGTGAGGATCGACCACTTATATATTCCCTACCAATATGACTCAATTTTGTAATAAGTCCAAAAAAATATAGAAGTTTGTGTCAGACGCCGATATGAAGCTAGTAATAATTCCTTTAGCCATTTGACAAATTAAAGATAACTTGTCCAAAGCCATAAAACTGATACAGTACATTGATATCTTATGAATGGTTTCCATGTTGGTGGTTAATCAACAGGAAAGTGAAAGACAAACTTCAATAAAGATAAAGAACGAAAAAAAGAAGGAAAAAGAGAAGGTTACATTACAAAAAAAAAAAAAAATTGCCAGTAAAAAATTTCAAGTTTATGAAACATCAATTACTCAAAACAGTTAATGATATGTTCAAAGAATGGTTACCAAGTACTCACTATTGATTTGATTAACCACTAAAGAACTTAAGTGTTCCTAAGTTGGAGGTTGAGAAGATTTTGCTTCCACCAAGCCGAAATTCTTCCTTCACACCATTATATGTACAAGACATGTGCACATGATCAGCGAGGCGAATTTCCCACGTAGCCTTAGAGGAAGATAAGAACTTGTTCAACGAGATCGTGGGGGTGTTAGATTATGACAAGTTTTGTTTTATAAATGGATCAAACAAAGAAGGGTTGACTCAATTCAAATAACTAGTTCACACGGCGTGAAGCCCAATCTAAATCATCCCCTGAAGCAACTAGACCACCACCATCAATGCTTTGGGACTCAGCACCTGAACATGACATCAAAACTGGAATTTTTTCTTTGCCAAGCCCATCAATTTCCTGTTCATTATCCTCAGTTTTGGTAATTGCAATATCACTGCTTAATTCTTTACCATCATTTGTTTCAACAATAACTTGAGGACCTGAAAACTTACTGATACCAGAGTCATTGACATTTTCTTCTTCATCTGACAAGCATCTACAGCAGTCAAACTCATCCAGCTCATAAGGTTGGCTCGTTGATCCTTCCCTCCACGATATCCTCATTTGGGATTGTGAAGCATTCTCTGTTGTAGAACTAGATAACCAAGGGTCCTCATCTAAAAATTTGGGAAGTTTACTGAGATCAATAGATTCACAAGGCATAGTTAAACATTCAAATTGGAAACTTGAATTAACAGACTCCTCCGGGGGCATAGAACTATTGAGAAGGAAGTTTTCTGATAGAAGTATGTTGCTGGATGAGTTAAGGCCAGGGTTAGAGTTAACTTCCTTTCGATTGTCTGCATGTACCAATGACAATCCAACATGTAATTCTGAACTAGAATCTGATTGTGGAGTTTGAATAACATTTCCACTGCCAAATGAATTCAGGGAAAAAGGTGAATTCTCATCAATGAGATTGTATCGATCGCATTTTCCCTTTCCTGAGATACCTGCCCTACAAATAGGTGTGGGATTGGGAGAAAACAACAAGGATGAATAAGAAGGCGATAATATGTAATCAGAGGGTACTTGAAATTTAGCAAGTCCATTTGGAGAAATTGAACTGATTTTTCTCATGATACCATTGGCACCACCAGACAAATCACTGCTATCACTTACATTCCAAAAAGTCTTGGAACTAGATGATGGTGAAGTACCGGAAGAAAGAGTTGTGGATGATGCCAGTCCCTGACTTTTATCTAGTCCATTTTCAAACTTCTGACTCATAATTTTCCTTCCCTTGTTACATGGAGAAGAAAGCCAATGCACTACAGCTTCAGCTGGCAAAGGTAACAAGGATGGACTAGCATGGCTAATAGTGTCCATTACTATTTTCTCATCATCATCAAAACTACTAGAAGCTCTTTTCTCACTGCCTGAATAGTTCTTCTCTACAGTGAGAATCCCTCTGGGCCTACATTTCCTCTTGTCAGCAACACCAGAAACAACATAGCCAGCACCATAACAAGCAGGTGTTACTGTTTTTGAAACCAAAGAAGACCCACATTGTATCTCAGGGGAAACAGAGTTATGAATTGGAGGTGTTCTATTAATGCTTGCATTTGGATTCTCCTCCGCATCCCCAAATGCTCTAACATCATCCAAATACGACCCAGTAGCCTTTTTACATGAAGGAGACAAGTTTGACTCACCATGACACAATTTGACATGGGCATGCTCACCAGCAGTATCATCTCTGCCTCCCAAGATATTCTCTTTTTCCTTTGACTCGTCTGATGCGGATGGCAACCTAGGTAAAACCTTGCCATGGTCATTGAAAGTGGAACAAGGCTTAGACATTTGGTTTTGAGCAGTCCGAGAACTTGATTTCTTCCCAGACTGCCATTGATAGATGCAAGGGGGCTTCTTCCTATGATTCCGCGCCTTATCCAATCCAAGTGTCTTAGATTTCAACCCAGCATTACCCTTTGGAATGTTCTCCTTGGAGAAATTAGATTTAGACTGTTTCAATGCAGCTGCATGAGGGGCTGAGCTTGGAGTTTTAGTGAGATTCTTGGGTCTGTGGGCAGGGGTTCTAAAAGAAGAGGATGACAAAAACCTGAGGCATCCCTTTGGGGCTTCCGTGGAGACACTGCTAGAAGCATAACTACTGTTGCTGCTGCTGGAAATCCGGTTGAGATCCTGCAAAGGGCTTCTAGGACTTCGCTTCTTTGTTGCACAGGATGGTGATGCAACTGTGATTGGTGTAGGTGGTGGGACAAATGAGGAAGATTTCTTCGATGAAAATGCTTTACTCATAGTGAGGCCTGCAGGATCTACATCACATTGAACTGATCTAAATACATTAATTATTTGCCATAACATTTACAGATTCTTCATAAGCACATTAGTATTGCACAATGTAATCACGCTAAAAAAGGAAGAAAAATAACATGTACGAAGATTCATGGCGTAGAATTTCTAAGATTGGTCATGCTCATTCAATTTCCAGACAGAGTGTGATGAGAGATCGGAAAGGGAAAATATAAGTGACTGTGGCGTTACCTGTGAAAGTAGAAGGTGGGAATGATGGATCTGAGTGATGCAGATGGACAGACAAAGGATATCAAACGGCAACTCACTTGAACCTCAACTTAGAACACACCAACAATGTGTGTGGGTCGCACTTGCTTGTTTTCTTTGGGTTTGAACATTTAACTTTAAACTTTTAAAATTAAAATAATAATAATAATAATAATAATAATAATAATAATAATAATAATAATAATAATAATAATAATAATAAGAATAATAATACATTCTTTAAAGTTTAGCTAAGTGCTTTCATCCTTCGAACCATTTCAAAAGAATAAAAGGAAGGAGAAAAAGACTACTATACCCTTTAACCTGCGTTCACAAATGGTAAGGAAGATTTGGCTCAGGCATTCGCAACCGATTTCGTGGATATTCATTCATGCAATCTCCACTGATTTTGATTCTGAAAATTCGTTTTCGTTGCACATGGAGATTGACACATTTAATCTAAACCTATTGCTATGACTATCAGGATGAAGAATTTTAATTGACTACTTTATAATGGAAGGTGGTAAAATATCTATTAATATTAACATATTTATATATAAATTATTTACTTCTTAAATCTCACTCCTAATTTTTTAATATTTTGTTTTAATTTTAAAAACATTATTCTTATATAAATGGTCAGTGGTTTTTATTTTGATATTAAAAAATATTATAGGATAATTATTGGTCAAAAAATACTGATAATACGAATTATAATTATTTTAGATAAATTATTTTTATTTAAAATTATAATTTACGGTGCAGCTAATTAATATTTATTATTAGAGCGTCTAGATTTATTTGTAGTGGTATTTTATGATGTTTTTAATTTATATTTAATAATATTTTTATTAGAATTATAATTGATTTTACAAATACTTTGGCATGACAAGATAAATAACTACATAAATTTTTATAACGAGGTAATTGATAGTTTTTATCTATTGTCTTTTTAGATATAAGTATCTTATTATTCTCGGTAGAGCATGAATTCATAAAAATGGAATAGCAGGTAGATTTTTTTGGGAGGTAAAGGACCTTGTTCTTAAAAAAATTATATATATAAAGTTTGTTAGTTTTATTTTTTATATTCTCATATTTATTTATTATATATTAATAATATGATATTTGATTACAAAATTATTAGTAAACATCCATACACTCACCTATTAATTATGAATTGAAAATGTAATAGGAAGTTCAATTTTAAGTATGTATGATTGTTTGATTATCTAATTATCAGAGCATAATTGATTATGTGATTATTTGAACTACATGATTGATTAGGATAGATTTTGAGAGTGCGTAACAATGGTCCCAAAATCTGATATTTCAATCAAGTTTAAGCTTACATTAAACATATCAAAATGTGTTTCAAAGACATGAACCATTTTTTTCCATATAATTTTTAAAAAACATTACACTTTTAGACATTATAAAGAAAAAAAAAAAAGTAAATACATCAATCATCATCACTTTTATCATATAAATTGCATGTACAAATTTCTTATATATTTTTTACTTTTTTCTTTTAAAACAAGCAATCACAATTTTTTTTCCTCACACTCTATTCTCTATCTAAACAAGGACTTAAAAGCTGATTATGATAGTATGAGGTAATCAATTTCAGGTAAACATTTTAATACAATAACTTTAAGCGAATGAGATATACTTTCTTTTAATTTCAAATTAAAAAGTTTATATATATATATATATATATATATATATATATATAAACACTAATATACTACATTTATAATAAAATGTAAATGACAAATTCAGGAAATAAATTATATTTTATAAAAAGAAAAAAATTAGATTGAACAAATTGAAAAAGAAAGCTATATTTTGTTTCAATTATGGTTGAAGTATCTGACATAGGTAAAACAAAAAAATTGTGAGAAAGTGTGTTATAGAAGTGATATGAGAGTAACCGATTTTTTCTTTTAAGTTTATTTTTTTATTTTGTTTTATTATTAATAAAATATTTAATTTGCTCTTTATCTGGTAAATACATCGAATTTGAGACTTTTTTTTCATAAATAATACTATTTTTAAAAATATTTCTCAAAATAGCACATCCGAAACATTATTTACACAACTAAGACTCTTTCATCGTTCACGTATTAAAATAATCGATTATTTTATATTATGATCAATTATTTTGCGCAATCAACTCTCGCTCAAGCGAAGAAACTTTTCGCTTGAACGAGGAAATCTGTAACAAAGGGGTAATCTCGGGTCAATTCTGGCTCAAGCGATGGGTATTTTCGCTTGAACGAGAAGTGATTAAAATATGTGGTGACTCAAGTTGCATTATGTGGCTAACTACGTTGGACATTTAGCCTGTGGTCAATTCTCGCTCAAGCGATGAGTTACTTTGCTCGAGCGAGAATTGATTGGGTAACTGCGTTGGACCCTGGTCAATTCTCGCTCAAGCGATACATCCATCGCTTGAGCGAAGAAATTTATAATCGATTATAATTTGAACTAATCGATCATAATTTTAAAATAATCGAATATACAAAATTATGATCGATTATTTCTCTCTCGCTCAAGCGAAGAAACCCTTCGCTTAAGCGAGGAGACCTGTAACAAATGGGTAATCTCGGGTCAATTATCGCTCAAGCGACGGGTACTTTCGCTTGAGCGAGAAGTGATTGAAACATGTGGTGACCCAAGTTGCATTATGTGGTTAACTGCGTTGGACGTTTAGCTTGTAGTCAATTCTCGCTCAAGCGAGGGTTACTTCGCTCGAGCGAGAATTGATTGGGTAACTGCGTTGGACCCTGGTCAATTCTCGCTCAAGCGAGACATCCATCGCTTGAGCGAAAGAGTTTATAATCGATCATAATTTTAAAATAATCGAATATACAAAATTATGATCGATTATTTCTCTCTCGCTCAAGCGAAGAAACCCTTCGCTTAGCGAGGAGACCTGTAACAAATGGGTAATCTCAGGTCAATTCTCGCTCAAGCGACGGGTACTTTCGCTTGAGCGAGAAGTGATTGAAATATGTGGTGACCCAAGTTGCATTATGTGGCTAACTGCGTTGGACGTTTAGCCTGTGGTCAATTCTCACTCAAGCGAGAAACTCATCGCTTGAGCGAGGAAACCTGCAACTATTTACAATACTGAGTCACCCACCCAAGTCAGGATTCTCATGTCTTTCTGATGCACACAAGTAAAGAATCCAATGTTGAGTCACCCACCCAAGTTAGGATTCCAATCTTGGATTCCCTGCATTGGGTTAGACAAAAGCAGAAAAATCCAAACATATTTAAAGAGATGTTGACCCACCCACTTTGCTTGGGTTTTGTGTGCGTCAGAAACCATGTGAGGGAGCATTGGATTCAAACCAATGGACTTCATTATAAATAGACCAATTTCATTCTTTGAAGTTCTCACATTGCACACTCCTAAATCTCTGAAGCTCTTTGTATTATTTCTTCTTCTTACCTTTAGTCTTCTTTGTGTTCCACACTCCTAAAATGGGTGTAGTGTCTACTATTGTCCACTATGATGGTTTCATGAACCCATGTCCCATGGAGGGAGTTACCTTCAATACTGGGACTGCAAAATTTGTTCCTTTAAAGAGAGGAATTTCTCTACAAAGGTTGAAGAAGTTGATCCACAAGAAATTGGAGAAAGAACCCCACGAAAATATAGCAACCATCCATTTTCGCTGTCCAACTAGACTCGGAGTTGGGATCAACAACTTCATTGTTATTGAGTTGAAAGATGATGACGACGTGGAGGTCATGTTCGATGTTTATGATTCAAACTCAAGTCTATGTGGTATTGAAATTTTTGTTTCATTTAAAACTTCTTCTTCTTCATACCCCAACACACACTCACCAAAAATTTCACCCTCACCCTACCAAGTTTTCCCAAACACTGACCCAGAAATACCCGCACATAATGACTACATCCCTTTTACCCAACTTCTAAGTGGGTCTTCCACCAACATCAACGAAGAACTACTCACACAAGAGAACGAAATTGTTGGCCTCCCAATTGAAGTCGTTGATCCTTTTAGTGAGGATGAAGACGAAGATGAAATTCTCAGCCAACACCAAGATGATTCAGAGGACGAACAACCATATATCCCTACACATGCACCAAACTTCATGGAACCATACACCCCATCACAACATTTTCTTAACTTTGAAAGTCACATTCAACAACAAGACCCAGAGTATGGTCATGCGTTGGACAGAGAGTCTTTTGTTTCTCCGGCAGGAACTCTATTTCTTGGATAACGTTTCATAATAAAAGAACAAGTTCAAGATGCCATCAACCGCTTTCACATTGTCAATCACTGCACATACAAGGTGAAAATTTCAAACCAAAATAGATATGTTGTTGAATGTGTTGATAACCAATGCAATTGGAGATGTCGAGCAATATTGCGCACAAGAGAGCAATATTGGGAGATTATGAAGCTTGAAGGACACCATACATGCGTTTCGCCATTAATCAGCCAAGACCATAACAAATTGGGATATAAAATTATTTCCCAAACAATTGGTCAAATAATTGATGCTGATTCGTCAACACCAATCTCCACAATCATAGCCCACATCCAATTAACAACGGGTTACACTATAACATACAGGAAGGTCTGGTTGGCCAAACAAAAGGCAATGAGATCATCTATGACAATTGGGAGGATTCGTATAAGAAGTTGTCTTGTTTGTTACAAGTCATGCAACAATTTGTTCTTGGATTCATCTACAAACTACAGTCACAACCAGCTTACCAAGGTGAAGTCCTTCAACAAAATTCAAATAGTTTTAAACGTGTGTTTTGGTCGTTTAGGTCATGCATAAATGGATTTGTTCACTGCAAGCTCATTGTTCAAGTGGACGAAACTTTTTTGCATGGAAAATATAGAGGTACCTTGTTGGTTGCAGTAGCACAAGATGCCTGCAACAACATCCTCCCCATTGCGTTTGCAGTGGTTGAAGATGAAACAAGTGATGCCTATTTTTTTTTCTTAAAAAACCTTCAAAGATATGTCACACCCCAACAAGGATTATGTCTCATATCAGACCGACATGAATCCATTAGAAGTGCATACATGAGAAATGGAAGCGGATGGACAGAAAATAATTCAGTGCATGTCTACTGCATTAGACACATTGCACAGAATTTTATGAGACGTTTCAAAAACACCGCACTAAGGAAAGATGTTGTAAATATGGGTAATTCATTTGCTTCAAATTTGTTACAATTTATTCATTATTTAATTGTTGCTAATAAATATTTATATTAACTATGTTTTTTTAATATTGTTGTAGCGTATGGGATGATTGAACCACGATTCTACTATTATTACAACATCTTGAGGCAATGTGACATAAAATCAGCTAATTGGTTGGATGAGATACCTAGAGAAAAATGGGCATTTGCATGGGACAATGGACGACGTTGGGGCCACATGACGACCAACATAGCAGAGTCTATCAACTCTGTTTTGAAAAAAACAAGAAATCTACCTATTTGTTCCATGGTCAACGCAACGTACACCCACTGCAACAAATTTTTCATTGAAAGAGGGGGGCAGATAGATGTCATGATCAATGCTAGTCATGTATACTCTGAAATTTTGGTCACAAATTTAGAGGAAGCACAAACACAGACAAACACGCATAGGGTCATAACTTTTGACAGGTCTACCACAAAATTTGTAGTAGAAGAAACACAAAACTCGCGTGAAGTTCGACCAGCAGGGAAGTTTGCAGTTCGCCTTGATGAGTTATGATGTGACCGTGAGAAATTCCAAAAATTTCACATGTCTTGTTCACATGTTCTTGATGCATGCAAGCATGCACACCATGACTTCAACAACTATATTCATTCAGTGTATACCTTACAACAAGTTTCAAAGGTATACGAAACACAATTTTGGTTATTGCAAAATGAAGAATATTGGTCAACATACACAGGACCTACTTTGTGTGCAAATCCAGAAATGAAAAGAACTTCAAAAGGGCCGACAAAAATCAAGTCGTATAAGAACTGAGATGGACATTACAGAAAATCAAAGTAGGATTAAAAAATGTTCATATTGTCATACCCCTGGTCATAGCAGAAGAACATGTCCCAATGTTGCACGTCATCTACTTCACATCATTAAATTGTGTTAGTTAAGAAATGTCTCAATATATGAAACTTAGGAGTTTTTCAATTAATTGAAAGTGATGAAGATCTTATTGAATCATTTGATAAAACGAAGATCTTGTGGATTTGATGAAGTCAAATGTTAATCTGATGAAGTCAAAGGTTATTTAAGGAACTTTTTGCTAACTGTTTTAATCGATTAAAACTTGTTGTTATCAGTTAAAATAACTTAGAAAGTTTTGTGAAAAGTTTTGAAGAAACTCAGTCTGCAGGAGCTGCATAATTCGGGTTTGATTGTTCTAGTTTCTTTTTTTTGTTTCTTTACATTTCTTTAATGTATTATGGGTATCTGGAAGCTTGAGCGAGAATTGACCACAAGCTAAACGTCCAACGCAGTTAACCACATAATGCAACTTAGGTCACAACATATTTCAATCACTTCTCGCTCAAGCGAAAGTACTCGTCGCTTGAACGAGAATTGACCCGAGATTACCCATTTGTTACATGTCTCCTCGCTTAAGCGAAGGGTTTTTTCGCTTGAGCGAGAGAGAAATAATTGATCATAATTTTGTATATTCGATTATTTTAAAATTATGATCGATTAGTTCAAATTATAATCGATTATAAATTTCTTCGCTCAAGCGATGGATGTCTCGCTTGAGCGAGAATTGACCAGGGTCCAACGCAGTTACCCAATCAATTCTCGCTCGAGCGAAGTAACTCATCGCTTGAACGAGAATTGACCACAGGCTAAACGTCCAACATAGTTAGTCACATAACGTAACTTGGGTCACCACATATTTTAATCACTTCTTGCTCAAGCGAAAATACCCATCGCTTGAGCAAGAATTGACCCGAGATTACCCCTTTGTTACAGATTTCCTCGCTCAAGCGAAGGGTTTCTTCGCTTGAGCGAGAGTTGATTGCGCAAAATAATCGATCATAATATAAAATAATTGATTATTTTAATACGGGAACAATAAAGAGTGTTAGTTGTGTAAATAATGTTTTAGATGTGTTATTTTGAAAAATATTTTAAAAAATAGTATTATTTATGTAAAAAAGTCCGAATTTGATTCTTTCTTATTAAAATAAGTTAACATCAATAATATTGATAATTAACCACAATTTTAAATTGATGTTTTAAAATAGTAACTAATTAATAAAAAATTTATATAATACCTGAGAAAAAAATATTTTAAAACTAAAAGCTCAATCATGCCAATTGTGTAAGGTGTATTTGCAAATTGTAACTTTTAATTTGGAAGATTTCATGAGAGTAGGAGCCTTTAATTTGCAAATTTTAATAACCCAAAAAAGAAGAACAAAGGAAAGGAAAAAAAAAAAAAAAACACCAAATTTGAAAAGCCTTTGTCATTCTAAGTTCCCTGCAACTGCAACCACGGCTACAACTTCAACTACAACTTACTTACTTCCTTTCCCATGGTACAATCTCTTTCTCTGTCACAGTTAATTTTCAACAATTTTGTTTTCGTGTATCATGTTGTGGATGTCTGCATGTCACAGGATTACCTTAAATCCGCGCTTCCTTCTCAAATAATTTCAGAACGAGGCTCCAATCTGGTTGTTATCAACCCAGGTATGCAAAATATCCAATTTTGTTCACTACCCATTTGTCACCCTCTTCCCAAAATCAACTCCAGCGCTTAAATATTCCAACTTGGTTTATACCATTCCCATATTACTCAGGTTCTGCAAATATAAGGATTGGCTTGGCTTCTCAAGACACCCCTTTTAATATTCCTCATTGCATTGCTCGCCACATCAAACAGACTGAGGGGAATGTCATAGATCAGGTTTTTCTGATCATTTGACTATTTAATTTTATACTATATTGTATTCTGCCCCCATCCCATATTTTTTTTTTTTAATTTTTTTTTTGCTTGCATATATGTTTTAGTTTAATTGTTGTTGGTTTTTACATTTTTTCCCATTAGATGCTCAATAGTCACGTTGTACCTGAACAGCACAAGGAAAGGGAAAAAGCTTATAATACTGTAAGTTACGATACACTTTGATTCTATAATTTCTATATTACAATTTGCTAATATGGATTATCCCCTTCTTTTGCTTTAAAAAAAGATTGCATCATTGATGAAGATATCATTTTTGGATGAAGAAGCTCCCAGTAATTCTTTCCCTCGCAAGGTATGTGAAATGTTTATTCAGTTATAATTAAAGTGATTAAACTCATTCTGTTTGCTTGTATGATCTGTTTTTCTTGTTTGTTGTGTTACTGTACTCTGTGTACTAATAATGTTTGGACCAGCCCAGACTTTTGTAGGATCTGTTTAAGCATTGGATTAATATTCCCCTTTCAAATCATAGCATTTCAAGTAGTGTGATATCTGTGACAATTCTATAGTACTTCATTTAATAAATAGTATGAGCTGAAGATAAATGATGCACTGCAGAATACAAACATGGTGACAGACAAATATATCATTACTTAAGAAGAGAGCATTATAATTGTATTGACCCTTTTGAACATTCTTACTTTTCTTCGAAGATTTCTTCTATTTTAGTCCTTAATATAAATAAACAATGTGATTTATATGCTTAACTTTTTATATTTTACATTTTACTTAAACTAGTATTGCTTATACATATATGACTTGAAGTTATATTCAATGCATGTCCTTATAATCTCAAAGTTTGTCACTTCACTCATGCACCTCTCAGACAGTTCTTCCTTCCATGGTTGTTTTCTTCTAATAAAAGTTATTTTCTATACAAATAGAACAAAATCTAGCATGTAAAACTGGAGAATTGTAGAAGACAAAAGAAGCAAAATAATAGGTTATGTAGTGAGAGAGCACGATAGATAAGTTATTGGATGATTGTCTTAGCTGATTTTTCATTGATTCTACAAACATGTTAATGAGGATGAATTCTAAGATTTCTGTAAAGTCACGTTCCCACTCTCAGGTTCACGCAAAACTAATCTATTTGGAAAATTCTATCACATATTTACAAAGTTATTGGTGTTTCTAGGATTATTATACGACAATAAAACATAAGTGTAAGCTACTTGTTTCTAAATTAATACTGTGATTTTCAATGTACATAATGTACAGATGGGACGTGTTGATGGACAGAATCCTCACGTTATCAGGAAACATTTGCCCTTCACTTGGACCAATGTCTATGAGGAGGCCACTAATTCATCTATATCATTAGGTAAGAGGAAATTGGCCTCTTTGCATTCACCTTGTACTTTCCTGAGCTCTCGATTGTCTTTGTGGTTTTGGATATGTTTATGTCAATTAGCTTCGCATTTTATTCATCTAAGTTTGTTTTACCAAGTACCTAATATGAGCTGGATAGTGCCTTTCATGAGTATTATGCTAAAAAAACTAATAGTGAGCTGGTGCATTACCCTATCTTATTATACAGTATTTCAATTATTATATGAAAAGACACTTTTAGGTAATTTTTATTTTTCTCCTTTTTTTAGTAACATTAAATTAAAAAATGTTATTCTTTTTAATTTTCATTTTTTCTTCATTGTTTGGTTTGCTTAGCTTCTTGTTTTGTTGGAACTAAGGTCTTCATTTAGAAGCAAAAGAAGTTTCCGGTTAAATGCTTTGTTATTTTAATATGAATTAGCACTATGTTATGAAATGTATACAAATTGCCTCTTTGTAGAAACTTCAAGTAAGGATGAGACTGGTGAGTCTTTGGATCCAAAAGAAGGTACAGATTCAAAGGATCTCAATAGTGAAAGAAAATTCAAAGAGTTCATTTGCGGTGATGAAGCATTAAGAATATCCCCAACTGAACCATATTGTATATGTCGCCCAATCCGCAGAGGACACTTGAACATTTCACAACATTATTCGATGCAGCAGGTAAATATCACTTCCAAAATGGAATGCTATTGGTGCAAGTTAGTAATTTTAGTTTGATGCCATACAGTTAATTAGTAAGCAGAAAAATGTATATATTATGTAGTTTTGAATTCTGTATTGTAACATAAAGTTAAGTGTTGCATTATAATCTAATGGCAAAACGTATTGGAGACCTTTGACTCTGTATTAATGAAACCATAACAATAGTTTTATTTTTAAAAATATGCATACCCTGCCTGCTTATTCCTGCAAATTTACAGTAGAGTTTTACTTTAAGTTTCTGGGTAATATGTTGAAATTGTATGCTTTGACTTTTCAGGAAACACATGATGTACAATCTTCAGTAAATATGCTATTTCAGCACAACAATAGTTTTGTTTTAAAATATGGATACCTTACCTGCTTATTCCTGCAAATTTGTTGCACACTTCTTGTGCTTATTTTTCCTTAAACAGATTAATCATGGTAGAAAGAAATAAAAAAGACTTGTAAAGCCTCTTGACAACCTAATTCTGTATGAGGGGATGTCTGCATTTGAATTTAATGAAGACAATTTATGAATGTCTGTGTTTGAATTTTAGGATGATATATAAGTAGTTCTAGTAGATCCTTTAGGTCCTCCTTCTGATCTTGACGAAGACAGTGGTTGATAGAGAGAACAATGATCTTAGACTCAGAACCCATTTTTCCAATTGTATTTAAGTGTTTGGTAATATGGTCTCCTTATAGCAATGTTATAATGGTAGATTATTTCTATGATACTGGTGATTAACTTGTTAAATCTTAGAAAGAATTGATAGCTAGTAAGCCACAGTAAAGTGCCATTCTTGATCAGTATAGCATTGGTTGATTCTAAGAGTGAACAAACTGTGATTGAAGCACTGTCAGTTTTAGATATAAATTTTTATGCTCTAATTAAGAAAACCAACAATACTGATGTACCACCCTTGGAGCGTTAAGTTTCCTGTTGACTTCAAGATTCCTGTAGCGTTTGAAAAAATCCCAGTTTGTTGTTGATTTTGCTTCTTCCTCCTTCACAACATCACATATGGACTTCTTTGTTGTCACCAGTTCCACTTTTAGGTAGTTCCAATTGAAAAAAAAAAATCACCAAGTTTTCTTCTTAATGGAGGATAATGAGAAGTGGGTGACATGTATAAGTATTAATTAATAAATTGTACTAATTCTGGTGTAACTGTGAATTGGGAGTTAACATTTGTATTAGTGATTTAGAGATTTTTGGGAAATTATGGTTTCGTTGTTTTAGTGATTGGATATCTAATCCCTCATGGATTATATCTTTACCTTTTTTCTCTCTCTAAATTGGGACAACTCAAGTCTAAATTTCTGGTTGCTTGTCCTAGTAATTTAGGATCATTTGAGTTGCTTAAACAAACTATTGAAAATGGGTCTAATAACTGAACTCTAAAGCTAGTCCAAAGGAAGATAAGCCTTCAGAGTATTATGGTCATATTCCTAGCTGATATGGAACAACTTAACTCATCCGCCTTCATGCCCAAGATTGAAAATTTGGAGCGTGAAGTTTGCAAGACTAGATATCTATGGGTCTAGGATATCTAAATTTTAACCATATCTTTGAGATTAAGATACTTACCGTGATTGAAAAGTTTGAATTTTTAGTGTCTTTGACAACATTTCTAGCTCTCATTTTATATCACTAATAACTATCACTTGCCCATTATGCAGGTACTTGATGATCTACATACTATTTGGGACTGGATTTTAATAGAGAAACTTCACATTCCTCGCAATGAAAGAAATATGTATTCTGCTGTTCTAGTGATGCCAGAAACATTTGACAATCGTGGTACTTGACATTAGTTCATTTAATCTGTTATAAATACTTGTCATTTATTTATTTATTTTGCATGAATTCTTATTTTCCCACTCTTGATATAATCATTTTATGTTTCTGTCCTTGCCACAACCAGAGATAAAGGAAATTATATCTTTAGTATTAAGAGAACTCTGCTTTGGCTCTGCAGTGGTACACCAGGTAAGACCTTCTATGTTGCTGGTATAACTTCATATGATGATTGCAGGTATAATTGACTATTATGCTTTTCTTGTAATGGATGATTGAAAGTAAAGGAGTGAAAAAGGAAAGAAAAGAAGAGAAAAAGAGTAAAAATGAGTGGAAGAAAGTGAAATTGTTTGGATTAGATAAGTAGAAAATAAAATAAATTTATTTATTATTTTTATAATATTCTTAATTGTTTTAATTACTTTTAATATTATTTTTTAATTATTATAACAAAAAAATTATTAATAAAAAATTATACATAATGAATTATGTTATCGTGCTTCTTCTTGTATTTGCATGGAAAGTCAGCATGCTTCTCTCTTTCTAGATTAACACGCTTTCCCCCCATATCATTGGAAGCAAACAAGCAACATATGCTACTTTTTTGGTTATTTCTGTGCATTTCTTCTTTCCGTGCTCAGAGACCCAAACAAGCGCTAAATCTCTGACATGATAAACATTTGTTATTGTGGTTATAGTTTGTTTTGTTACTGCTCTTGATAATATTTTAACATTACTTCTGAGTTTTTTCCTAACTCCCTTGACCATTAGAAAGGATATTGGTAGGTATCATTAGAAAGCCTCATTCTTGAGGAGTGGGTTCAGTCCCTCAAGAATGGAATCATGTATGTTGGTAACGAAAATTGAGGGAAATGAACTAATGTTTATCCAACAAAGCAATTCAGTTCTTGCCAGTAATTTGGGTGATTTCACAATCATAGTTTTGGTTAATATTTTTCCAAAACTGGGTCTTACTGTTGGAAGTTGTTGCAGACAAATTCATGCAAATTTCCCTAGTCTCAAACTTTTTGCTCTTGCTTTACAAATCCTTTGTGCTCTAATGGTCACTATATCTTTAATATACATGTGGGATGATGAAATTAACAGAATGGGGGTGGTGGAGATCAAACAATACAACATTTGATCGAATAGGCTTTTTATACATTGAAGTGAACTATGTCAGAATTTCTTAATTAGATTCTAAAGATTTCATATGGAATTATTTGACTTGACCAGGAAGGTATTGCAGCAGTTTTTGGAAATGGATTATCAACAGCATGTGTGGTGAATATTGGTGCTCAGGTGACATCACTTATATGCATTGAGGTAAATGAAACTAATTTTATAGTTGTTATGCAACATATCTTATTTAGCACAGTTTGGAGTTTTCTATTAGGATATCTGGGAAGATGGAATAACTAAATGATGTATCATGTAACATTTGCCCGAGGATAAATCTAAAAATTGTATTTACGATTAATTAATTGTTCTGTGATCCACTACTCTTAACAGCAGATGGAAGTAGATTTTCGAAAGCACTGAATATAGATCAGCATACCACTGTATGTTTATCCAGCACCACGTGGTAGTAGATTAATTACAGCAGAAAATATATATAGGCTCACTGAACTTTACTTCCATTTTGAAGTATCCGCCCTGAATTTTCAAATCTGGTAGTGTGAAAAACTGTGTTCAGTTCAGTTGTTGTACCACCATTAGCAAGGAAAATAACAATTACTTTTCTGCAAATCTTCAATTTTTGAAATAGGTCCATAAATATTCTAAATTGACACTCTTGGTGACAAATTAATATGACATTAAGCAAGCCTTTTCCCACTAGATTAGTGTTTGCCCCCACTTATCTGGGCTTTCCTTCTACTGAAAAGTGGAAGCTCCTCCAAATGGCTTTTCTAGAAGCTATTTTCGGTATTTTATTAAGGAAAGAGAAGATTGGGCAATGTTACATCAAACACAACATGGGTGGGCTTGGCTATGGATCAAATAATGCGCCATGCTGCTATCTTGGATTAGTATCTATGGTTAATATTACAAAAAATAAGATCCACTATTTGAGGTTGGTTATAAATCTGATGTTGGCCATGGTAATCGTAACAACTAAATATTGTTGATCGTGATGTTTGTTTTGATGATTTGAACTTTTTACTAGATTTACTCAGTCACTTGAATAAAACAACTTAGATGGTAAAATAGCTTCTATCGTGACTTCACTATTCTGAATATAATTTTGCTATTGGCCACATATACCAACTTTAACTATTAGCTTGTGTCTGATATTATTTTAACTGTCAAATTGAGTTCTTTGCATACTTGATGGTAGTTCAGATTCTTATGAAAAACAACAGGTGACTAATTTTGGCATTTAAATTCTTGTCTTGTTGCTTAGGATGGAGGTGCACTACCTTCAACTGGGAAGACTTTACCTTTTGGTGGTGAGGTACAAAATAGTTTCATACTTCTACCCATTTGTGATGTTTTAAAATAATTCAAAACATGTAACATATTCACTTACCGGCATGCCAGATATGTCTATTTTTTTTGTTTTTCTGACATAATTTTTTTTCTTTGCTTATTTTTGCAACTTTGTTTTTCACATGTGTCTTGTGATGTGTATAAACTAAACTAAATTGGTCTAAACAAAAGTATTTTCTTAGAATTTGCAATTAGGATCTAATTAAATCCTACAAAACCAATTCATAAGCTGAGGATTGTGTAAACTCGTATTTCTAGTTAGTGTGGGACTAAACACCACCCTTGATGAGGTGACAATTATAGAAGCTTCCAAAGAGGTGGCTACTAGGCTAGTTGACATCATTTAAGGTGACTTTCCAACAATATTTATTCTATGAAGTATATTGGTCCAAACAAAAAATCTTCAGCTAGCCTAGGCATCCCAGAAAGGCCTAAATGATGGGGGAACAAATTGAACAATTAGATTAAGAGTTATACATTGGATGAAAGATATACAAGTATATATTGGTCCAAACAAAAAATCTTCAGCTAGCCTTGGCATACCAGAAAGGCCTAAATGATGGGGGAACAAATTGAACAATTAGATTAAGACTTATACATTGGATGAAAGATATACAAGTATAACAACTTTAGTTTTCAACAAAGCTGTATTACATTGTCGAAGAACCACTTACATAACATTTACTTGTATAATCCCTACTGCTAAAAATATTCAGCTACTCTTTCTACAACCCGTGAATTAAAGTAAACATGCTTGTCAATGTGTACTGATTCTCCATTATGCAATATGTTACCATTTTCAATTTGTTTCCTTGTATCAAGATTTTCATATTATAATTCTTTGAGTTATATAGCTGACCATATTTTGTGTTCCAAATTTTGTGTATATTCGGTAGTTTTTTATGTCCTTATTTAAATAACAACTTCATACTTTCAGGATATAGCAAGGGGTCTTCTCTGGACCCAAAGACATCACCAGACTTGGCCACAAATTCGTACAGATGTTTTCAGAAAGCCTGTAGATCTGTTAATGTTAAATCAACTGAAAGAGACATATTGTGAAATCAAGGTGAGTTCTTCTTTGTCTCATTATGCTAGTTTGAGACATCCCCCAGAGTAATTTAGAGTCCAACCTTATTGAGTGCAAACTTGACTTTTAGTTGCAGCACAATTATACCCCTGTAGATATGTTTATATTGTTTCTAAATAACATGGATATGAAAATTTTATAATTAAACAAGTGAGACTCTTGTATATATCATGTGTGGCATTGCAGGTTACATTTCAGCACAAAACATCATTCTAGTAAAAAAGGACACGTGATGTAGATGAAATTCTAGGACAATTTGTTATTAAAAATACTTTATTGTGTTTATATTGGTATTGGTGGGAATGAGAAGGTTTAAGTCAGACTTTCTGCTCCTCTTTAGCTTTTACTTGCTTCCAAACTTGGTTCGTTTTTAAATTATCTCTTGTCCTTTCTATAGGAGGAGGAACTTGATGTCGTTGCAGTAGTTCATTCATATGAGGACAAAGGACCAGCTGTATCTCACAAGATAAGGCTTACTGCTCTTAATGTATGTATCCTCCCTCCAGTGAAATTATTTTCGTTTGACCTCAAATTTTTACTTTGAACAATGCGATATTGATTATTACATAGGTCCCTCCTATGGGATTGTTCTATCCAAAGCTTTTAGTTCATGATGTGTATCCTCCTCCTCCTCGCACCTGGTTAGTGGATTCAAGAACTTTTTTCGGTGCTGTGAACATGTTTGCAAACAATTATATGGTTATATAATCCTAGTGGCTTCCTTGATTAGGTTTCACGACTACGAGGATATGCTTGAAGATACATGGCATATTGATTTTTCCCGGAGATCTGACATGTCAGATACTTTCTATCCCAATGTTAATGGAGGATTACCAATGTGGGAAAGCTATCCCATTTTTTCAACTAAGCCAAAAAAAGAAGAAAAAGTGGGCCTTGCAGAGGCTATTACTAACTGCATTCTCTCAACTGGTAACTTCTCTACCCTTTTTTTCATTGTGTGCGTGAATTTGATTTGAAGCTTGTTTAACTGTTCGGCACGGTGTTCACAGGTCGCATAGACATCCAGAGAAAATTATTTTGTAGCATACAATTGGTGAGTTTTACATGTTGAGCTTGGTGTATAATTGTCTTAATATTACATGTTGATTGGAAGGAATTGACACATTTTTCTTTAATAGACCGGTGGAGTGGCTTTGACAAGTGGTTTAGTTGCAGCAGTTGAAGAAAGGTTTGTTCCAATTTTCATTTACCTTATCATATTATCCTAGGCTGATACTGAATTTTGCAATGATAATTCATGTATTGTTTCGTATTAAAGAAAACGAAAAACTAGTCAATGAGAATTAGCTAAATTGATGGGATCAAACAACATTGATAAGAAATTCTTGGGTTTAATTCTTAGTAGTGTTTATTCATTTGTAGGTCATCTGTAAAATATCACCTGTAACTTGAAACTGGAAAACCTCGGCTTCCTCCTAACCTTCTTGTTAGTGTGATATTGTAAATGTATTTAGTTGATTAATTTCTCCTATAAATTATATTTTGGCATGAAATCATAATTTCATTTTTTAATGACCAGAAGTTGTTTTTTAAACTTCAACATTCAAGTAAATTTCATTGTTTTCTATTTTAGTTTATTTATAATTTTAATGATATTTGTCTGCTTTGGAAGCTTCCTCTTTCCTTCATCCTTTTTACATCATCCATTTTTCCGTACTTTTTCTCTTACAGAACTGTACGCTTAGCAGTCCCCATCTTTTTATGCCTTTATGTTTTCCTCATCTTGCTTGAACATCATTAGTCCTATTTTTCACGTTGAATTTCAACACCCCAGTGTTATGGATGATTCTTTAATTATATCATGATATTAAGCTGATGGATGAATCCACTATTTTTTCTGTCTCAGAGTTTTACATGCCATTCCTCCAAATGAAGCAATTGATACTGTGGAGGTTAGTTTAATATCATATTATCTAATATCTAATGACTATATTTAATTATTTGTACTTCAAATTATAAATCACAGATATATCTAAATTGGCTTCAAGTGGCCATTATTAGCACACCATATAATTGTTGTGATATGCTGTGAATAATTCATCCATAAAAGAAAATAAAAAAAATGAATCGAACTAGCAAAGAACCAGTAGAAATTGGCAACCAGTCTAAATCTCCTGAAACGGGTGGTAAGCCCTTTTTATTTTTAACTTAACCAGAATCAATTTTTGAGGCAAATGATGCCAAGCTACAAAGAAAGTTAAGAGCGGAATTTTTCCGCTGATGATTATTTAGTCTATTATTATTACTTTTATGTCTTTATCTTGTAACACAGAATAGGATCTAATTTTAAAAAATAGGTATCTAATTACCATGGTTTGACCACTATTCAATCAAGGTCAAACTATTGAATTGTATAATTGTTTTGCGCATATTAGGTTTAATCTATTTTTTGTTTTCTTTATAATTACTTCTCTGACATTGTGTAATACCATTTGTACATGACTCTTAAGGTTCTACAATCAAGGACAAATCCAACTTTTGTGTCTTGGAAAGGCGGGGTGGTATGTTGAACATCTATGACTATCATGCTTCATTTCTTATTTGATAAATTTCTTTTTGGTTGATTCTTTAATGGTTCTTTTTGTCACTACTTTTCTGATTTAGAAATGTTTGTTCGGTGCTATCTGTATATAGTCTTCAATTATTGGAAAAAGAACATTTGTTAATTATTTAACTTCTAAAGTCATCATATTCATGAATTTATTGTTATATAATATATTGGAGAACTGAGTTTTGCGAAAGCCAACCCATAACATTTTTTTATAACTATTTATTGGTTTCACACGTAAATTGTCATTATTTGTTTTAAAATAAAATTATCAATTCCATGATCATAAAAATAAATTTTTGTGCATCAAGTTAGTATTTGATTGGAATTGTTCTTTCTTAGATTTTAAGTAAGATGTTCGGGGATTTTGCATGTGCTCTGCTATGATGGCAAGTTGTTATATATTTTGAGATGATATAACTGATATGCCTTTGCAGATTCTTGGGGTACTTGATTTAGGTAGGGATGCATGGATAAACAGGGAGGATTGGATTCAGAATGGGATTCACGTTGGGAGTAGCAAAAAATACAAGGATTCCTATTATCTTCAAGCTCAAGCGATGTGTTATATGAATTCTTAAAAGGTTGAAGAGACACTGCAATGAAAATAGGAAAAAAAGAAAAGACCAATGTAAAGAATTATTGATTAAATGATCATAGTTGTACAATTTCCTGTTAATTCAAAAGGTAAAAACGTTTGTAGATCAAAATCATAGAGATTGAATTACTTATTTCTTCCAATGACTTTCCTTATCTTTCTCTGGTTGATACATGACTCTAATGTATATTAGACTGTTTTATATTTGATCTTTGTTGAATGAAAAAATAATAATATGATTTATAAGGCATACAAAATGTTGAGAAAAGTCAAATGTTTAGTTGGGATCCCACATCGGAAGAGAGTGTAGAAAAGGCAGAAACTATTCTTGATAAATAGAAGTGAATGAAATTGGTTCTTCTTAAAAAGGGTCGGTTGGCTAATTATGCCACGTTCACCCTTGATCGGTGAATGCTGTATGGCTATCAAGACATATGGCCGACGTAATTTGTGGAACCCAGCTGGGTTGGCTCGCCTGGCCGACCCTTCAATAAAAGTCCTAAAATTTTATTTACAGTGTTCTATTTAAAATTTAATTATCAGTATTTTGTTTTTAATTGTTAGTCATTGTTAGGGGTCTTCAAAATATGATATTTATTTATATGGTACAGTATGTATATCCGAATTTTACATTATGTATTATTGTCTTTAATGTTTTAAACTAAATGTAACATAATAAATTTTTAATTCATTTTTAAAATAAATTATATATATAGAAGGTTATTTATTAATTGAATGTAAAAGAATGAAATTTGTAATATATCATTATTAAATCTTAAAATTATAATTTCCTAATATATTTTGTAGTATTAAGTTAGTTAATAATTATATTATTTTTTTACTGCTTTAGTAAGTTAGATCATTCATTGCTCATTATTAATTTCTCTGCCTTATTTCTCATTATTAATTTCTCTATCTCCTCCTTAGTCAAATCTATTTTTTCACATTAAAATTATAAATTATTAAAATTATAAATTATATAAGTTCAAACTCCTAGTTCCCTCTATTTCATTTTAGTTTCACTTCTTAGATACTAAATAGTATTAAACTTAATTATAATTGTTGGAACCTCGTGTAATATGATTTAAATATTTTTAAGTTATTTCACATGTTGTCATCTTTAACATGATTTCAGATTAAAAATGTAACTTCTTTTTAATTGTTACTTGGCAAAGATAGACTCGCTAACTTGAACAGTTACTAATTTTCTGTACAAAGAATGACGTATCTAAAAAGATAAAGATTTGATATTTAGTTTTGATAGGTTCTTTATTTAAATTGTGAAACTTACTAAATATGTATTGACACTGAAAATTATATTTTGAACAATATAATTATTTAGTTATAGTAATATTTCAAATTTCATGTCTATCATATTTTTTATTAATTAATTATATAATAAACTCGTACATCTCTAAAAAAAGTTGGACTCGATATTTAATAGCTCGCTTAGAAGTTTATGATGGTCTATCACGAAGGAAAATCTATACACCTATTATTTCCCTACTTTTTTAATTAATTAGAATAAACTAAGATTTACCAAAAACAAATTTGGTTTGAGATGAGATTATTTAAAAATTATTTTTCAATGATTAACAAAGACGACTGAAATGAATTTATTTCCTTTTATGTTGTTTCACACTGCAAACAAGTTACTTGTTATTTCTTTTTGAAGTTTCCAACTTGTAACAAATGTCTTCAAAACCTTCCATCAAATCTCCAAGCAGACTTTTTCAGTCATAAAATCATAGTTTATGATTCATTCAGCAGCCCAATTAAGATAATGTTAATACACATTCAATTCAACTATATGTACTTCTAGGAGGAGAAAATTCATTCAACTATCAGAAAAAATTATTATATTTATAACTCTCATTTTAGGTTAACAATTGTAATAGTAAATATAGTTTATCAGTCACCAAAAATATTCTAAAATTAAATTTTATTAAAAAATGTTGAGTGATAACTTTATTATTTAAAATGAAGTAAAAAATAATAATAAAGATGAAAAGTAGATGACAAAACTGTTTCGAAACCAAACTGAAGACTGGTGGTTGTTTATATAGAAGTATTTAAGTTGATAATCAAACCTGATGACGTATATTTTGAGATAATTTAAGATGAGGATGATAGAAAATATTTGAAGTTGTAGGGGCATGTGATGTGACTTGGAGTGGGAGGGACCTAATGAGTGGGGATTAGTGTGTGATGATATTACAAAAACGTCAAAAGGAAAGAAACAATCTTCCCCTTCTCTGCCTCTGTCATGTCTTAGATTATAATAATATCATTCAACCTTTGACCCTCCTCAATCATTAGGCTTGGCTTTCCATCTCTTAAATCTTAATAATAAAGCAAATCATTTTAAAATCTAATTTTGAGAAAATAAACCGATGGAGATAACAATAGAAAATATTTCTAAAAATATTTGGAAGGGCAAAACTATTTAAAAACAAAAGGATGAAAGTCTTAAAGCAGAAGAAAGAAGGAAGCCAAAAAAGGAAAAGTGAGGCATTGAATGGAGCAGCCAGCCAGAGGGTGAAGCCGAGCCGAGCTGTATGACAGGTAGGTGGACCCCACTTTCACCTTCCCATCGTGTGTCTGCACTCTTTCTCCTTCTTCCTTTCTTTATTATATATATATATTTAAAAATCACCACCATTTTCTTTCCATCTTCAACACAACACTCTTCTCTTCTCTTCTCTTCTCTTCCTTCAATTTTTCCAATGTCAAGTACCCAGACAAATACTCACGGCCACCAGCCCAGCCGCCTGCAGCGTCGGGCCCCCTCCTCCCTCCAGATTGACCGTTCTCTCCACTGGAACGTCGCCATCCCCCTCCTCTCACCCCTCGTCTCCTCGCCGCCGCCACTTGACCTTAAGCCGCAGCAAGACCCGCCGCCGCGGGAACCGGAGATGGTCACGGTGTCCTTCAAGAAGTGGCAGCACCCGGCGGCTCCCTTCTGTTGCGAGCCGGCGCCGATGGTCCCTCCCTTTGTACCGGCGTAGATACAAACAGAAGGAAGCGAAACGAGAAAGTTGTTGTTAGGATGCCACGTCTAATGATGGTCTATACTTAGAATGAAGATCTAACGCTATATTTTAATATTGTTCCATTTTGTTCGGGGAAGGCTTTGCCTTGTTTTTGCACACCCTGTGTGTTTCTTTTCTTCTTCTTTTCAGCTTTTTCCCGTTTTAATTTTTGCCTTTTTATCCTGGGGCTTAAATTAAATTACTTCATACGAACATCTCTCTCTTATTTTTCTCCCTTCTTAGTGTCTAGCTTTTGCCTAATCTGTTCTCTTTTGTACAAATAATTCCGACAAAAAAAAAAAACAATTGACGCAATTTTTAATGATTTTCTTCTTATTATGCTTTGGATGGGGGTGTTGCGAAGGACAGCACCACCACCAGTTAGTGGAATCCTATAATTATTTCTTGTATGGGTTTTTGTGTGGGTGCGAGCGGCTCAAGGATCCAATTTCCAACACAGGGAATCAAATCACTCGTGTGCTGGTCACCACTCGCTATACTCTGGCTGCTTGTCTGATACGGGCAATTTATTTAGTATCACTCGTATAAATTTGTATGAATAAGCGTAGTTTATGTTTTAATTTTGCTGTGAATCATAGTTTAATAGATATTGAAATGAATTTTATGAGCGAAACTTAATCATGTTTAATAAGACGATCCAAGGATGTGTTTTTTGACACAACAGTGAAACAGGGTGATGCTTGGTTGGATACCCAATTTTTACTCTATGATCATCTTTGCTGATCGAGTGTTCTAGATTGATCTAGTAACTAGTAATGGTAAAAGTTGATTTTTTGTCGTCTGAATGGAAAGTAAGGCCTAATGTAGATAAGAACAGAAGCAAAACGGTTTGAGTGGGTTTTGAACCAAAATATATAGATCAATCTATCCCCAAAAGTAAAGAAGTTGAAAGTGTTATTAGTTTGTGCAGAAGAATGGATGAAACAAGATATGGCAGTTGCAATGCAAAGAGAGGGTGACTTTGGGTGATAACAGCTCAGCAGTCAGGCATAGGGACACTTTAATGTGATCTTCACTGTGCAAACTGCACATGTGGTGTTCCCAACATGTATGATACAACAACTATCCAACCCACATGTCCAGATTATTGCCGGACACAACAATTGCTATTGCAAATAATTTTTGCTTCTATCATCACAACTGTGTCATCGTGGTTTTAAATCTTGACTTTTTTTTTTTTTTTCTGTTTTTTGTTGATCAAAGTTTAAGTGGTTTGAAAACTCACCAAATTACACTCAGTCTATTTATAATATGTCTCTCGATTCAAAGTTCACAAATTATTTATCATATGTTCAAATCTGTTATATATATATATATATATATATATATATATATATATATATATATATATATATATATATATATATATATATATATAAATCACGAAATTCAATTAAGATGATTGCTTGTTGGCTGCAAAAGTTAACGCACTTACTTATATACAACAATATGTGTGAAGTAAGATAATGTTCATGAAAAGCAATTTGATGGGGAGAAGAAAAATTATTACTAACCCTACATGGCCGTAATTAAAAATTAGCTTATCCTAATATGAATTTAGGAATCTTAATGTTTTTTCTTTTGACAGAAAGGAATCTTAAGGTTAGAGAAGATGACGTGCTTTACAAAGTATAAAAAAAAAATGAGATTTGGTATGTAATCATACTACAGTTCAATTAACAAGAAGAATAGATGATAACATTGGTTGAAATTTTCGTCCAGCAGAAAAAATAACTCACAATTTAATAATCCGGTCAAATTTACCTAATTGATTAAAAAAAAAATTATCTGAGTTTTATTGTTTTAAATTTGTATTTTTCTTAGGAATTATATTCACATATTGGGAAGAACTTGTATTACCTCTACCGAATTAAGAATCCATGAAAACAGAAATTGATAAAGTTTGCGTTGAGTGAAAGACAAAGATATTAATCTGATTTGACTGGGGAAACTGAAAGATGCAAAAACGAAAGTGAAGAAGCAAGGCAAGGAAAAAAGTTATGCAACAAATATGGAAATGGGGTTGCTGATACGCAAAGTAATATTCCATATTCATGCTTCTTTCTCTCTTCTCTCCTTACTCATATTCATTCAAAAATAATGCTATTCATATTCTTTTCCCATTCATCGCTTAATGCATTCTTCTACGTTCATGATAAATTAATTTATTTTTATTATAATGCACAACAATTATTGCACTTGGTTTAGTTTGGTAAAGGGAGCAAATATTATGGGAGGGTGAGATTTCTTGTTCTGTGGGTTCCATATCCGATGGTGATTATGCTTTTCATAAGAAAAAAAAGTTATAAATAGAAATGAAAATTGTGAGTATAAGCTAGTAGAAAAAGGGCTTTTATAAACAATAATTTTCTTTTCGGATGTACTTTTTGTTGTTGATTCCTGGCACCCAAGGGATCCATCTATCAAGAGCTTTTTATAAGTTGGTTTAGGGCTAATATTTATGATTTTTTTCTAAATTTAATAATTATTAAATATATTTATTAATTTGATATTTTACTTTTTCTTAATTTTTTCATATATTTATTTATTATTAATTAATAATATATTAACTCTTCACGTCAAAATTGATGTAGGGATTGATGGAAGTCCTTCCCACTGCCCTGTAACAAACAATATCATACACTACCAACGACTTTAAGATTCAAATTTTGAAAAATAAGCCATTTAGAAAGTTGGATAAAACAAATGGAGTTGTACAATAATATTAATTAATTTTATTTTTATCAAATGTCAATAATGTAAAATAATATCATTTTTCATTCAAAATATTAAAAATATTAGGTTAATACATTTAACTTTTTTATATCCTATATAGAATTTTAGACTTGCAATTAAGTTATCAGAATTAAAAGCTAAATTAACTTTCTTAAACATAAATTACTTCTATTTAGTCACATATGAGTGATGATTACTTCTTTGTCTATCTATTGTTTAACTATAATCTAATCTTAATATATAACTTAATGTATAATATATGATTTGTTTTTCAAGGTATAATTTACCAATAAGTGACAAGAGAAGAAGATATAAGACTTTTTCAAACATCACTACTTAACAAAAATTTTAGGGTTATTCATTTAATTTAAGTAATTATTTATTCCATTGCGATCCAGAAGAGGTAACTATTTGTATGGACTTGGCATAGAAAAGACAAACTAAAGCCCAAAATATTTGCAGATAGCATCTAGCTGCAATGGCACAATATTGGGCCTAATAGGATGTGCCCGATAAATAAGCAGACATTCCTTGAATTTTAACATACCACAAGAACAAACTTCTAAAATGTAGAAGAAAAATAAAAAAAGTAAAATGAAACAATTTTTTTTAAGTCAAAGTCAACATTTAACTTTTTAGAAACAGTTAAGAAGAACTTCTATAAAAAGTTATATTACATAAATTAATTTTAACTATTAAAAAATTGATTTATTTTAGTTTCTATTTTTTGTAAATGTTAATTGAAAAATTGATTCAAATAAGTCCTTACTTACGTGAGACTGAGAGTTCATTCTTAAATTCACAATAATTCATACATTTTTTTTAAAACACAATCAGTATTTGTTTATTACAAATCTAAAAAACAAAAAATCATGCAAGAAGATTATTAAACTATGATGTAAAAACCATTAAATTTTAGTTTCTAGCATATTCTTTTGATTATATATATTCTTTAATAGGTTGGAATTTCTTATGGGTTTACGTAATATATTGAATGTCTTTTACATTTTTTTTAATTTTCAATAAATTTATTTAATAAGAAGTGAATTAAAAAAGTATGTAGCTATAACAAATAGATTTAGTGATATTTTAAACATATAAAAATATCTTCTACTGTTTTATCCTTATGAATAAAAAAAGACAAAAGAATACTAGTAAAAAGAGAAAAGAAAGAAAAGTTGGAATGATTCAATTCAAAATTGTGAGCCCTGACTTCACTTTTCAAAATTCTGATTTCTTTTTTGAAAACTAGAGTGGATAGCTCTGAAATTGCAAAACCAAAACAATCACTCACCTCCCTCTTTGGTCCCTCCCTACCCCCATGCATCATCCTTTTGTTTTTCACTTCCTTCTTTCCCTCCACTTTGTATTTCATCTCTTGTTTTTACATTTTCTTTAGTTACACCCCCATCACTCCTCCTTCCCTACTTCCTCATATCGTCAAGTTTTTTCTTTGGCAACACACAAACCATCTCATTGCACCCTTTGCTTTCTGTCTTCCCCATCAACAATTCCATTCCCAAAATCATTGTTCAGCGTCAAAGTTTGCGGCTTTGACAAGCTATATTAGACTCTTCTTCTTTTTCCCCACAGTGGGTCTTATCACGCGATTTGAATGAAGGGCATTTGGTGAAATTGGTAGATAGCTATGGTCGCTGAAGCTTGGATTGTGAAGATGGGTAACCAGGTAAGTGCCAATCTCAAGCACGCTCTTCTTTTTGAACCTTCTGCAAAGAGAAAGCACAACCCCAAAAGGCAAGATAGTAGCAGTAAAGAAGTAATTGGAATTCTTTCTTTTGAAGTAGCAAACGTAATGTCCAAAACCGTTCACCTTCACAGATCCTTGTCAGAGCCTGAGATCGTGCAGCTCAGAAACGAGATCTCCAACTCACAGGGTGTTCAAAACCTGGTTTCCTCCGAAGAGGGCTATCTCCTCGAGCTGGCTCGAGCAGAGAAGCTTGCGGAGTTGAACCGTATTGCTAGCGTGGTTTCTAGGTTGGGGAGGAAGTGTTCTGAGCCTGCTTTGCAAGGTTTTGAGCACGTGTACGGGGACATTGTTAATGGGGTTATAGATGTGAAGGAATTGGGGTTCTTAGTTAAGCACATGGAAGGAATGGTGAGGAAAATGGATAGGTATGTTAGTGCTACCAGGAGTTTGCACAGTGTAATGGGGGTCTTGAATGATTTGGAGCAAGCAGTAAAGAAGTTTCAGCATAACCAGCATGGGGAGAGTAGAAGGGCGTTTGAGCAGAAACTCACATGGCAGAGGCAAGATGTAAGGCATCTAAAGGAGATTTCACTTTGGAATCAGAACTTTGATAAGGTCGTTGAGTTGTTGGCCAGGACAGTTTGTACCATTTATGCTAGAATCTGTATGATCTTTGGTGATTCTACATGGAGGAAGATTACTACTAGTCTTGGGCTTAGCGGAGGTTCACCACCCATGCAAAGTGAATCTGAGTTTGTGTCGGGCCAGATTGGTGTTCCTTTGAGTTCTGAGAAGTTGAAAAGTAATCATGGTAAGAGAAATGGTTATGCTTATCAGTTGGGTTCAATTGGAAGAACTGCTGTGGGAACGAGGGTAACTGCTAGTAAGCCTCAAATGGATATGAGGAGAGGTGAATTATCATATCTTCAACTTGAAGATTTTGGTTTCCCTTGTGGAACAAGTCCGGGGAAACTTTTCATGGACTGTCTAAGTTTAAGCAGCTCGGTTTCGAAATTTGATGATGACAATGATGATTATGTTGTTGATCGTGAGTACCAACATAGTCACGGATCAAGCTATCATAGTATTGGTGTTGAGAATAAGGTCAAGAAAAAGGAGCAGTTGTTCCATTCTGGTGATCTGAGTCATGTTCATAGTGGTGTCCCTTTCACTGGAGATCTAAGTTGTTCAACCTTTGGTCCCCAAAGTAGATTGGCCCTTTATGCTCCTCCTTCTACACTTGGAGGCTGTGCTCTAGCATTGCACTATGCCAATGTCATACTGTGATAGAGAAATTCCTTAGGTATCCACATTTAGTTGGTGAGGAAGCTAGGAATGATCTATATCAGATGTTACCAACGAGCTTAAGGTTGTCTCTGAAACGCAAACTTAAGACCTATGTGAAGAACTTGGCCATATATGATGCCCCTCTTGCTCATGACTGGAAGGTGACTCTTGATGGGATACTCAAGTGGCTTGCTCCACTGGCCCATAATATGATCAGGTGGCAAAGTGAGAGGAATTTTGAGCAACACCAACTTGTTAGCAGGTCCAATGTGCTGCTATTTCAGACATTATATTTCGCAGATAAGGACAAAACAGAGGAAGCTATGTGCCAACTTCTTATGGGACTAAATTACATATGTCGTTATGAACAACAGCAGAACGCGTTGTTGGGTTGTGCAAGTAGTTTTGATTTTGAAGATTGCATGGATTGGCAACTGCAATGTGGCGCATTTCCCAGTTGAATAGATTCTGAATATTGAAATCCTCAGTTGAGCATTTCATTAGTTTATATGCATAATACACATCATTTTGATTTCAATTCGACTCGTAAAGTATATAAACTGTAATATTTTTTAAATGGGCAAAAAAAGATCGTTCTGAACTTGGAAGCATGTTTATGTGCAGCTTACTTTCTGCTTACAGTATGCTTTCTTTATTTGTTTTTGGTACATTTCTTAATAGAACTGGTTACTGTTAAGATCAAGTAATAAGGTCTAAGCTTCTTTCGAGCCTGTTAATTCTTTCATTGACTTGCTTGGGTGGTTCAAGAAGGTGCTTATCCAGAGAGTGCCCTTGGTCCATAGAGGATGTGTCTTTGAACGTGGGACAATTGAATTGCGAAACTTCAAATTTCAAACTTAGCATCCCTCTCAAACTTTTAATGTACTTGGGCCGGTGTCAACATGGAGGCACTGACTCATTAAATTTTTTTATTCTCTTCTCGCACTCTTTTTTGCAAAAAGAAAAGATTGTTCTCCTTGCAGAATCTGATTTCTAAATTGTATTTTTAGCTTTTTCTTAGAAATATCTTGGTAACTAATTAGAAAACGTGGAAATTCAAGTATGAGTAAAGATTTCAAAAATTAATAAGTCATTATATCAATTTAAAAAAAAATAAAAATAAAAAGTTATTATATTATAAAAATGGACAATACACAAAATATAAAGAAATCTTCATCTTGCCACGGGATAAAAAATTTATAAATTAAATTAATTAAAATATAAAAAATACTATTACAACAAGAAATAAATAAAAAATCAATCGAATATATTTGTACCTTTTGTTCAATCATCGTACTATTAAAAGTTATCAGTTCCAGATATAACATTTACTTAAAGAACATATCTTAATTATTTAATAAAATAATATAACAAATGAATTAATTAAAATAAATTTGAATTATAAGTTTATCATGTATAATATAAAATTTAAGTTTTATAAATTATAACATATAATTTTAAAAATTGGTTGAGTATTAAATTATGTACTGCCACTAAATTTTTTATTTATTTATAAATTATTATATACAGTAAAAATATTAATTTTAATAATAATTATCTTAAATTTATGCCAATAATAATTGATAACTAAATAATATTAAAAATTATGTTTTATATGTTCTATTTATATTTTGTTATTTACGTCCTTTGAATTGTTCTTTATTTTCTTATATCATACAAATTTGGTGTATATTAATAAATTTTTTATTACTTGAAAATAAATACAAGTATGGATCAATACAATGAAACTCATAAATTCATATACCAAAACTTTTAAAATGTTATGTTTATATTATTATTATTATTATTATTATTATTATTATTATTATTATTATTATTATTATTATTGAAGAATTAAATTGGGGCATCAAAATTTATTACAACAATTTACGATAATTTTTAATTGTGAAACTTTTGAAAACATATTTCTCTAATTATATGTTATTTTGTAAAAGTTAATATCACATTATTTTTTATTTTATAAATTATATATTTCTTCTAATCTTTAATTAATCTCATATGTATGACATAAAAAAATATTAAATAGAAATTTTGAAAACTATTTTATTAGCATAAAAAAAATATTGTATTTCTTGACAAAAAATCTTAAAAAAATAAAATAAAAAGGGACAGAGAGAATACACAATAACTAACAATTTAAAAATATAACCAACTAAAAATATCAAAGAGAGTGTAAAGATAAAAATAGAGATGTAAATAGAATAAAAAATAATTAATATATTTTAATAGACAATTTTTGATCAATTTTATGTGAAATAAATATGTTTTAGTTTTCCACGTTACTCACTCTAAAAAAAAATCATCAATTTGGAAAGTATTTTTTAAATGTATATATGTTAATTTTTTAAAAGTAACTGATAAAAAGTAATTCTATACATTTGATACTGAAACCACGTAACCGTTTTGAGATGTTGTTTCCATTGTGTCGGACAACATTAATAATTGTTTTTCATAATAATAAAACTTTAACTTGGTGTACTCTTTAATTTTTTTAACCAGTAAGAGTTTGACATGCATAATTTACTTATTAGAAGTTGACTAAAAACCTAATTTTAATCAAGATATAAGAAATTTCAAAATTTCCTTGGTCTTAAATCTGAATTTTTGTGATTATGTTGTGCGTGATTTTAGGTCTGATGGATGGACCACATTCTGGCTAGCCTTTCGGATCAGGAATTTGACGAGAAGAACATTCAAACCTTTCTGTCACTGAACCAACTCCACCAGATTCTGCATGGAGTGAAACTCAAACATTGAATCAAAATATCAACAGGGAGAGGGTTAGTTTTAATTAAATAAATTTTATGTAGGAAAAATATAATATATAGTTTATATTTATTTTTTTTTACTTTCTTAAAGTTATAAAATATTTTCAGTCTCTATAAATATGGTTTAATCTGTTTTTACTCCCTGTGAAAAAATTGTTTGTAAACATCTTATATTTTTTTTAATACGTTCTTTTGGTATATTATAGTTAACAATATACTTAGCTTAATGTTAAAAATGAAAAATATTGGTTAACATATACCCATGTTTTTTTTTCAAGTATAGGTGTGTTTGTATTTGAAATATTAAGTAAGGTTTGAATGTATTTGGTGATCCTGGGTAGGACAACCTTGTCTGACGGGAACTACCCATATTTATTCTGAGGTTTTAGATTTAAGTTTAAAATTTTGAATTATAAAAATTGAGTTCAGATGACGGGAACAGTCCCACCCCTTTTTCAACGTCGCACATTTTAAATTTAACCTAAAAGAAATAGTTAATTAATCCTCTATTTCTCTTTCACATTGTGTATTTATCATAGTTATATTTTAATTTTTTGTTTTTTTTTCTAAAAATGATTTTTAAATAATAGGAGCAGAGCGATGAAATCGGAACCCCAATAAAAAAACAGATACGGGAATCGAATTTTTAACCTAACAAGATCTAAGAACGAAGAATAAGATGATTAAGGAAATTGAAAACGGGAGCCCCTCACTCGCTGGTGGCCATGATCTAGGTCAGACTTAGGATTTTTTGGGTTAGAATTTTTCATTTTTTTTTGTGAAATCTTTAATGATATATAAGGTGTTTCTTCGATAGTTGAGTTACATGTTCTCTTAGTTAAAAATTGAGTTTAGTTTGTTAAGGCTTAGGGAGATAAAGTTATGGTTCAGCTTTAACCAATTACATTTCTGGATATTGGGATGTGACATAGTCGGCATTAAAGTGTTGGATGTTTGAAAGTGCAAATGCAGTGAGTTATTGGTGCCACTCTTATTATTTTGTTTATATATTTTTGGTATCACCTGTTTGAAAGGCACTTGGTACTACCAACACGTATACGCACATATTAACTACACATACTATTTCATAAATGTATCTTCTCCATAACTTATAGTACAATTTAATAACGCTTTGTCTCTGGCTTATAAGTGACGCTACACTTTTAAATGAAATTTCTTTAATTTTCAAGTTAAATATTATTTTACTCGTGTCAACCTAATATAATAAATTAGTGGTTAGGAACTACCTTTGAAGACAATTGCAAGTATCGAGGCCTATGTTTGGGCAACAGTTTTATACACTATTATTCATTCAAGAAGACAATTGCAAGTATCTATGGCTCTGTTGGTAGGGGAGAGTTCTAACAACCTTCCTCCTAGTACCCTCTTTCTCTCATTCATAAGAGCCAAAAACAAATGCAAAATAGAAACTTATTATGCATTCAATTTATTATCAGATTAAACGTTTCTTCCATATATATTATGCATTCAAAACTCCAGTAATGTTTTTATTTTTATTTTTATCCATATTATGTTTGTGTTTATATTATTTTGTGTTCATACATTTCAATAATAAAATTAATAATATTTTATAATTACAAATTCAAAACGTTTATTACATTATTACAAATTCTTCACAAATATGAAATTGGATGGATTCTTTCTGCATTATAAAACTCCGTTTCTAAATTTAAATTTTCTATGAATAATATATTTTATAAATTTGCTTTCTCTTGTTCAAATTTCGTCTTATTTATTCTTTCCATCAAACTACAATGCACCATTAGAATCTGAATATAGCCTCGATCAAACACTCACCTTTTCATTTATTAAAATTATGTTCACTGTAAGGATTACGGGGCTCAAATATTTATTCACCATACCTTGATTTTAAGCTTTTCTTTATTAACTTTGACGATCGTTAAATTTTAATAATTTACTGAACTTTCAAAACAGGATAAAAATTAGATAAGAATTTTGTTCAAAACATAATTTAAACGCATGACAAATATCAAAATTTTCATAGATATTTGTAACAAATATAGCAGACGCTTCTTTTATGGTAATTTACTTTTCAGCCTTGGTATCATCAACTCAGAAACCTCAATACATTTCATAGCCGACAAATTCTCCCAAGTAGGCACTATTATCCACCAAAAGAGCACATTTATAAATTAAATAATTCAAGCACTATAATAATGGATTTGTCACATGAGAGCTTATTCAATTACTTGATTATGGAACTCAAATCGTACAATTTAAAAGTTATAAGAAGGTTATAAACCACCTTTATTAAATCAAATAAGTTTTTCCAAGCTCTTTCTTAAGAGGATAACACATTATAACATAGTACAGAGAAATGTATAAAAAAAAAAGCTAAACCTATCCGACGTGAGTGTAGAGATATCGAAGTGGAAGGAAGTAACCAAAATAAAAAGAGAACACCACCAACAGGCCTGTAACATTTCTTACGCCTGGATGTACAGTGCCAAAGTTGGTGTGGCTGAAATGTTTTACCAGATTGAAGGTTCACCAATATGGCTCCTTCTTCTTCTTCTTTCTATACTTTATACTTACCTTTCTCTCACTCATGACTGGTTCTCTCTAATGGTAACGTTGGTGTGTATCGGGCCCCGAGAAAACGACGTGCCCCGCACCTGCCTAGGCGCACGCGACCCCACAAAACCCTAATTTCCAAGACCCTCTAAAAGCAGTGCTTATTGTTCGTTCCCACTATATAATACCAGAAGCAACAAGCAAGGATTGAAAATAAAATATATAGAAATAAAAATAATAATAAAGTAAGAGAGAAAATATATTGGCTCCCCTAATAACAGCACAGCACACGCCAAGAAAGAGAACAAATCAAAAACATTTCTCCTCCTTTGTTCTTGTCAAATAGTAGTAGTTAAAGTTTTGTGTTCTTTCTCTTTCTATATCTTATTGTTAGATAGTACTGTCACCTATTTTGGTTTTCTTAATTATCTCTCTCCATCTTTTCTCTGTTTCTGCCCTCGTATTTCCTCTCTTTGTGCTTGATTCTGTGAAAGGTTTCGCATCTGTTCCGTCCATGTCCACTCAGATCACTTCTTCATAAGTAGCCAAAGAATAATCAAACAAATTAAAAGAGAAAAAAAAAAGGAGAGAGAGCACCTGCTGATCGTCTGATCTTCAATCCTTTTCTTTCCATCTCTTCAAACTGCCATTTGATAAACTCTTTAATACCCTTTACTTGATTCCTCTTGAGTATGTGAATCTAATTCTCTCTTCTAGGCACCTCACCTCTCATTCCTGTACCCTCTCCGGAGCCTCTCATCCATGGGACCAATCAAACACCATATGTTAGGTCTTCAGAGAGAAAAGAGCTAGCTTAGCCCTTGGTTTCTTATAAGCTATGTGGGTTTGACTTTTGTTTTTATTTCTTTTTTGCTCTCTTACAATTACAACAAGTGAAGGAAACCTAAGAAGACAAAACCGAAACTCCAATCAGCCACATAGCCTTCGGAAAAAGAAGGTAGCTCACAGGTCAATTTTGCGTTTTCTAGTAAAGGCAATTGAGCATAATTGCTTTCTGCGTCTGAATATAGTTTTCTTTACCTTAACCTGAATTAATCTTTGCAGTAACTCTGGCAAATCCTTGGTGGACAGGCCAGGGGGGGTTATCTGGGGTGGACCCAGGAACCCATTCACCTGGCCTAAGCAAACGTCACGCAGACCTTGCAATCAATGAAACCAGTGGTGGTCATAATAGAGAAGAGGATGAAGACAATAGAGATGAACCGAGAGAGGGTGCAGTTGAGGTTGGAACCCGCAGACCTAGAGGAAGACCTCCTGGATCCAAAAACAAGCCAAAACCACCCATTTTTGTGACAAGGGACAGCCCAAACGCCCTGAGGAGCCATGTGATGGAGATAACTGGAGGAGCTGATGTTGCCGAAAGTGTAGCTCAATTTGCAAGAAGGCGTCAGCGTGGGGTTTGTGTCCTCAGTGGCAGTGGCTCCGTGGCCAATGTTACTCTTAGACAACCTGCTGCTCCTGGAGCTGTGGTGGCACTTCATGGGAGGTTTGAGATTTTGTCCCTCACTGGGACTTTCTTACCTGGTCCTGCTCCTCCAGGATCCACGGGACTCACTGTATATCTAGCTGGAGGACAGGGTCAGATAATAGGAGGGAGTGTGGTTGGCTCTCTAGTTGCAGCAGGACCAGTGATGGTGATTGCTGCAACTTTTGCTAATGCAACATATGAGAGACTTCCACTTGATGAAGATGATGAGGGGCCTAGTTCAGCCGCTGCGGTGCAAGGCGGAGGATCGCCGCCGCCACTTGGAATTGGAAGCAGTGGGGGTGGCCAGTTGCAGGGTGGGATTCCAGATCCATCATCTTTGCCTTTGTATAATCTTCCACCAAATGGAGGAGGGGGGCAAGTGGGGCATGAAGCCCTTGCTTGGGCTCATGGACGGGCACCTTTCTGAGTTATGAGGATATGTGCAAAAAGATGTTAGGGGAAAAGATGGATGGAGTTATCTAATAATCAAATTCGACCAGCTTATTGTATTGATCTTGTGCTGTATTTTGAAGGCTAGGAAATTGGAAAAGAGTTGCAAGGTTAGAGCACTAATTATATAGTTGTGAAGAACAGTGAGAGAGGAAGCTAGCTAGCTAACAAGCAAGCATGCTTATTTTATCGATGTACATGGATTATGAACCATCCTTTTTCTCTTTTGCTTCTGTGTTTGAATAAAAAAGATGATCATGGGCGCCTTTAAATATATTTATGAATAATTTAGTAGTTTTTTTCACCGTCTGCTATTTTTTCGTCCCTATATTAGTCTCCTGGTTTGCATTTTTATATTATTTGTTTATTATTTTATTCTATTTTATAATTGATGCACTTCATGGCTTTGGTTTAAATATATGATAGAATTGAATGATTAGACTCTCAAAATATGATGAAGTTGGGGTTTTGAAGGGAGGGGGAAATCATCTTAATTAGAGATGATGAGTTGTGTTTCCAAGTCCTATCATGCATCGATTGACGGTTCTCAAACATCTTTCACCCTTTGTTTATGAGCTGGGAAACTAAATCACTGTTAGGGTTTGTTAACTTAAAACTCCAGCATCTGGAATTTGACCTGTGTAATTTCGCAGTGGATAGGGCTACTGCCCAGATCTACTTAGTAGTATTGTCTGATCCGACAAATTCTGCCTTCTAGATCTTGTTCTATCTTTATCCTTTTTCAAATGAATTTAAGCAAGGATTAGTGATTTTGTATATATAGCGAGATGAAAACTATAATCATTGATTGGATTCAACACAAGATAAAAATGTAAGAATTGTTCGTATTAGATGCAGAAAACATCAGATAGCTTTCTAGTACAAGGTATAATAATCAGGGCATGGGTCGAATGCTTAACTCATCAACAAAGACTGATACGTGTGCACATATAGCTGATATATGTGAGTTGAGAACAAGAACGAGCTCATCAATATTCATTTTAGAAATTCTGAATTCTGTTTTGTCGGTTGTTCACCTCAGTGTTGCATGCGCACAATTAAATTCTATAAGCATTACTGCGGGGTATATCTTCCATAATTTGGTGTTTATTCTAGACGAAACTGTCTTTGGTTATATCTCTCTTCTTTACATTGATTTGATCAAGTGCCAAACCCTTCTGTTATTCCGCACGCACGTGTTATGTTTATAGGATTTAAGATGAGTCCCATGAAGACACTAATAAAGTTCATTTTGGCAGAATGGGGAATTTTTTGTCTCCATGGATCGATTACGATGCTGCAGAAAGAGTGACTCTTTCCCCAAGAAACGTACTAGTTATGTATTAGCTATCACATAATTGAGAACACTGTTTTCTTCTTCCAAACATAGAGAGTTGTCTTTATATGCCTAGTGCATAGTCTCCTATTGAAATTAAAATACGGTGTTCAAGCTATTATGGTAGCTGATATATATGATAATATTATTATAACTGTACTCTCTTGGTCCATGCCTCCTTCAGTTGTTTAAGGGCCATTTACTTGATAAGAAAATCCGGTAAAAATATGGGAAGATAAATATTTTAGGGGTGACATAGAAACATGTTGGCTATTGACCTTGTTTTTGTTGGCCATACAATCAGTGATCTTACGAAGAAATCAAAAGTGTTTCGTATAAAGTAATGAATAATTAAGCATTTACCTAAAGGAAAGCGCTATTATAGCCTCAATTTAAGTCCAATGGGATATACAGTAGTTAGTTCAAAATTATCTAAATATTTTAAATATAAGCTCTTCTTCGTAATTACTTCAAGAATACAAAAAGAATTTGAACTTCTCTTTAAATTAAAACTACCTTGTTTACAAATTAAAAATAAAAAATTAGAAAAAATTATTTCATTTTTTCTCCTAAAATTTCTTCTAAAGAAGTTTGTTATAAAACCTATAACAAGTAATTATGTCGTCAAAAACATTGTTTGTGTTTGATGTCAGATTTTACATCTTTCGACTTTAGAATGGTCCGGAAGATGGATTGAGGTTTTAATAAACAATAATATAAAAAGGAGGATAAATTAATTTATTACAATGTAGTTAAACTTCTAACTTAAAGTAAAAGTAGTGCAGGAGAAGGATAAAGAGTGATTTTCACGTTACATTTTAATTAAGCTAACTTATAACTTGTTAGATTAATCCATAAAATTGTTAATTTGATCGAATAAAAATTGTTTAGGAAACCAAATTATTTTATTATCCTAAACATTATGATACATAAGCTTCTTAAACTAGTTTATAGACTACATATACATAGCTCTTTTATCATATTTATCTGTATTTTCAATTTTAATACTTATTGATTTTCTATAGTACTAAATAATTAAAATGTCTTTTTACCTTTTCATTAAAAAAAAAAAGTCTCTTTGCATTGCATTGTCACTTTGTGCACACAGCACAGTTATTAACTTTTTACTTTTGTCACAGTATTTTTAATTGAGGTCTTCTTAATTTTTACTGGCTTTGTCATTTTTTTTCTTTGCTTATTGTTCTAGGAATCCATACTTTGAAAATTGCTGATGTCAAATTAGTATATTGGGATTCTCTTTTTTTTTTCTTTTGTTTTAACTTCTCTCATTTATATTTAATATTTATTTATGGTGATATTTTTTTTACTCACCACATTTTTTATTGGTGAATCGAATATGTATAAGATTATAGATTCTTCACTAGATCAACTCATATAAATTGCTTCTTATATTGAAAAAACATAAAATAGGATTGAAAGTTTTTTTAATAAATTTTAAAGAATTTATTTACTTTAATTTAATTATTTTTATAAATTGTTAGAAGAAACAACTACTAACAATATTTTAAACACTTATCATATTATATAAGATTAAGAAATTGTTTTAGGTTAAGATTAAGAAATTGTTTTAACCAACTAAAACTTCATTTAGATGTATCAATATATGAAATGATAGTAGACTTTAACGGGTAAATTATTCAATTTAATATTTTAATGAAATTTATGATGTTATACTTCATACAACATGTTTCGTGCTTCTAATATCCAAAACTTAAGACATAATTTTATGAGCACAAATTTTAAGCCAAAACCAAAAGGGCAAATAATACGTAAATAATTTCTTTTATCAAAAGTATCAATTGATTCTTTTATGCCATTGAAAACGATAAACATGAATATAGGGGAAAAGAAAATTATTTAGATTAAATTGTATTTTAAAAACACCAATTTGTTTTTTAATTTTATATTATTTTTTAAAATTGTTATGTTTTTTAATTTATTTGTAATAACATGTTTTTTTGTAACAAATCAATGAAAAAAATAGAACAAAAACTAAAATTACAAAAAGTACAAGAATATAAAATTATTGTTACTTGTGTATTTTGTCTTCTTTTTTACACTGTAATAACACAAATCAAACACACTTTAAATACTTATTATTAGCTTCCAGTTAGTAGTTTTTTCAACTTCAATTAACTTATTGTTTGGACAATGATATTTGCTGTTATTTTTTTACGAATAATTTAATAACTTTCAAACAGTTTACTCAATAAACTCAAATTTAATTTATTTAATTAAATTAAAGGTGTAAACACATATCAATGCAGAAAAAGGTAAAAGGTAATAAATAATATAGTGTCAAAATTTTCACATTAGGTTACGTTTACAATAATATATTTTCACCACACTTATTGAGAATTCATAATTGAAAAAACATTATGATATTTTTATAATAAATTTTTTATTGTGATTCTAAAATAATTATCACTATAATAACATTTTTAAAATTTACATTTTTTTAAAAGATCATTATAAGTCTTGTTTAATTAGTTATAATTCGTTATTTTCTCGTCATATCATTTTACATCTTCACTTCTTTATCATCTTTTTTATTTTGTGATCTACTAAGTTCTCTTTAATTTTTTATAATCATTATTCATTTATTTTCTTAAAATATATACTATAATCAATGTTGAAAGATGTTTATATAATATTAAGACCATTATTTGAATCATTATTAACATAGTCGCTAAAATAAATTTTTAAAAAAATACATATAATAATGTTTATTATTTTACTTATGTTATACCTTCAACTATAATTATAAGCTATAGTAAAAACGCATTAAGACAACTGCATCATTACCAATCTTAATTAAAGATATTTTCATAAATAAAAAAGAAAAAAATTAGACTAGTGTATGTGACGATTTTGAAAATTAATTTGAAAAAAAAAATTCAACGACTGAGTAATTAAACCTCAAATAAAACAAATCTATGTCGTTTTATTTTTTATTTTTTTATCTATAACAGTCATCATCTTTTCTTTGTACTCAATTTTTTTTTTTTGTTATTATTCTCTTACCTCTCCTTCAAAATTTATTGATTTATTAATTTTAAAATATGATTTCAATTATACGTAAGTAAAAAAAAAAAATACACACTTCTTACCATATGTGGAATATAACTCCTCAGCTTCTCTGTGTTTCACGTTGATGGTTTTAGGTCAACTTTCTGGTCCACTTTCTCATCTTCCACACCATCTTTATTCAACTATTTAATTTAATCATGAATATTTCAATTGCGATTATGTCACACATGATACGTACGTTATAGCACTACGTATTTCACCATCATGATTAAAAATAATAAGACTGTCGATAATGTACTTTCCAACAAACACTAGTTTGAATATATTTTTATTATTAAATAAATTTATTAAAAAATTTAAATATGAGTGAGATTTAATATTGTTAATTAGCCAAAAGTAGTGACGATTATTTAGAGAATTTCTCAAATTCCAATATTTTAAGAGAAAGTTGCCTTCTTCAATGAATTTAATTACTATAAATTTAATTATCATGATTGAATATAGTTTTTTACTACTGAAACTCAAATGTACATTAGCTGTGTAAATTTAAGTCTCCTTGCATATGATTATGTAAAGGTTAAATTGCACAT